TCACATGGTGATCTTGACGCGTGGGTCTCTGCAGAGTACATTTTACTATTTAAATGCTACCCTTTGCCTCATCATGTACTCATGTGCACTCTCCACCTCTCACCTCTTTTGCTTGGTAAGTTGTCCCTTTTGTATCGCTGGTTTTTGTCTTGCTCAATGTTTTCCCTCACCAGCTGACATGTCCCTATTTTTGTGCAAGAGTCTGTCCACACGCGCACGAGTTCTTAATGTTGATGATTGTCCACCCCATGATGTTGAACACGAGATACCCTCCTACCCTGTTTTCTATGATCCATTGTATTACCCCATGTATCATAGCGCTGTTTTTGCAACTGCCAACAGTTTCTGTGCCTGGTTACAAATGACGCTTCCCATTCATTGCCGGTCCTGTTTGGTCTGTCATCCACCTCCAGATACTATCTCTGTGGAGGTCGCGCCATCAGATGTTATTGTGCAGCTGGGGCATGATACTGTCTTATTTCCCACTTTGAAGCATCAACGTACAGTCACTGCACAATCTTCACACGGTTTACCATTCCCAGACGCAACATATCCCTTCTGTCCGGGTTGAGTAGTGATCCTGTCTGGCCAGCTCACATGTGTCACACAGAAAACTTAAGTGCACTCTCGGTGTTAAGGTCGTGCTCAAGGGAGGAGTAACTCAAAGGGCTTGGCTTCAGCTCATGCACTGTGCCCCTCACCCGAGTACGTGCCCTTAATTTCCGAGAGGCAGAGGGGAAGTCTGTTTGGTACCGTGCCGGCTCAAGAAGCGGAGGGGTCAGGGCTTGGCTTCAGCTCTTGTGCTGTGCCCTTAGCTGAGTACATGCCCCAAATTTGGAGCAGGTCCAACATTGTCCAACGGTAGGATGAGTAGACCGCTTAGGTCCACTTTGAGGGTCGGGAGGTAAGTGCTACTAGCGGCGGGCTGACTAGGAGCAGAGCGGAGAAGGCGGAGGATAGTGCAGAGGGTGGATAGGAGCAGGGGGAATACTTGATAGGGGCGGAGAAGCAAGGAGAAGACTTAGAGCACGGCTCTAAGTCGGAGTGGAGAGTTGGAGGTGACAACAAGATGAAACTTGTGTCTGGAGGAGGCAAGGTCCTACTGAGAATTCTCACAAGTAGTAACTGCAAGAAGACAAGTAATATTAAGACTGGGGAAAATATCTAAGTACAGGATATGTTATATACTTCTAAGTATGAGGCAGTGATCAGGATAACTATGTTGTAAAGCTATGTACCAAGGATAAAATTTGTAAGTACTTACACAGGTGAAGACATAAGTCGGAGCAGATATCAATATGTACGTGTTGGATCAGTGATCGAGCAGTAAGAGGAATTTACTGGTGATCCAGAAGTAAGGGTCTATGTACTGAAGGGGAAAGTATATATCTAAAAGGGGAAAGGGGTTCCAGTTAAGTGGAGATGTTCTAGAAGGTGACCAGTCGGGCGGTTGAGTGGAAGCGTAGGGGTGGATTGTCATATCCCATACCTCCGGATCCAGAATTCCGGAACCCCACCACTAAAGTCCAGTTCTCCGTCCTGCTATTCTGCCCGGCACTCCACCTTCATCTCCGCACTCACTCCTAACTCCTTCTAGAATAGCTATTGCTCCGGTTACTGGTTATGTCCTTTTCCGCTATGCTTATTGATCCATCCATTCTTACTTCATTTCCGACTTCACTGCTTTGATCCATTACACTTACTAATAGACTTTCCACATGCTTCATACATAGCCCTTACCTTTGCTGACTGATTTACTTACATGATACCTACAGTATATAAACCCCTGTAATACTCCGGAACTCCTGAGTTCAAATATCATCTTAGTTCTGCTCATTCCTGCAATCTCCGGACTTGAGTCTCATCTCTTGTCCACCTCCGAGTCTTAGGGGTTAAACCTTAGGACTAATTCTCCGGCTCTACCTTAGGGTAGTCTAACCTCTGTTCTGTTTCTACTCCGGACTTCTGTAGTAACCTTACTCCGTTCCCACAAAGACTTCCAGAGTTCTGCCAAACTCCACCAACGTTTGTCCTCCGGAACTCCCCGGACTTCCGTTGGATTTCCCCTCTGCCCATTGGAAATTAAGGGCACATACTTGGGTAAGGGGCACAGCACACGAGCTGAAGCCGAAGCCCTTTGAGTAGTCTTTCCCTTGAGCACGACCTTAACATAGATGCAGATTGTGATTGGATGGAGCGGAGGATGGATGGAGTGGAGGTGGTCAGAAAGTGGAGCAGATATTAATATCAGAGCAGTCGGATCAGGTATATGACAGTCCAACCCCCTGTTTCCCTGTCCGCTCCATCCCTCCTTCTCCAACAATGCACAAAGTGCATCTCAGCAGGACTAGCCTTGCTACCTCCACCCGACTCTATTCCGCTCCTCTGACACTACCCCTATTTTCTCCGACACTATATCCCATACCTCCGGATCTGGATTGTCCCCTATGAAAGTCCAGGTTTCCATCCTGTTGTCTGCCTGGCACTCCGCTTTCATCTCCAGACTTACACCTATCTCCTTTTAGAATACTGCTCTCCAGCTACTGGTTGTACACCTTTCCGCTTTGCTTACTGACCCATCCATCTGCACTTCATTTCCAACTTCATTTCTTTGATCTGTTGTACACTTACTAATAGACTTTCCATATGCTTCGGGCATAGCTTTTACTTTTCTGACTGACTACTTACATGATACCTACAGTATGTAAGCTCCTGTAAAACTCCGGTACCTCCTCAGTTCAAATATCATCTTAGTTCCTGCTCATTCCTGCTTCTCTGGACTTGAGTCTGATCTCTTGTCAATCTCTGAGTCTTAGGGTTATTCCTTAAGACTACATCTCCGGCTCTACCTTAGGGTAGTGTCATATACCTGATCCGACTGCTCTAATATCAATATCCGCTCCGCTTTCCGACCCCCTCCGCTCCATCCAATCACAAGTCCGCATTCCGCCCTACGCTTCCACTCAACTGCTCAACCGGTCCCCTTCCATAAACATCTCCATTCAACTGGACCTCTTTCCCCTTTTAGATATATGCTTTCCCTTTCAGTACATAGACCCTTACTTCCAGATCACCGGTAATTCCTACTACCGCTCAATCGCTGATCCGACGTGTACATATTGATATCCGCTCCGACTTGTGTCTTCACCTGTGTAAGTACTTACAAATTATATCCTTGGTACATAGCTTTACAACATAGTTATCCTGGTCACTGCCTCATACATAGAAGTATATAACATATCATGTACTTAGATATTTTCCTCAGTCTTAATATTACTTGTCTTCTCGCAGTTACATCTTGTGAGAATTCTCAGTAGGACCTTGCCTCCTCTGGACACAAGTCTCAACTTGTTGTCACCTCCGACCCTCCGACCCTCCACTCCAACTTAGAGCCGTGCTCTAAAGTCTTTCCCTTATACTCCGCCCCTATCAAATATTCTCCCTTGTCCCTCTGCATTATCCTCCGCCTTCCCCGCCCCTACCAAACATTCCCCCTGCTCCTATCCACCCTCTGCATCACTCCCCACCTTCTCCGCTCCACTCCTAGTCGGCCCGCTGCTAGTAGCTCTTACTCCCCGACCCTCAAAGCGGACCAAAGTGGTCCACTCGTCCTATCGTCGGACAACATCGGACCCACTCCGAATTCGGGGCACGTACTTGGCTAAGGGCGCAGCGCAAGAGCTGAAGCCAAGCCCCGACCCCTCTGCTTCCTGAGTCGGCACGGTACCTAACAGGTAGTCTATCTCTGTTCTGTTTCTACTCTGGACTTGTCCGAAGTAGCCTTGCTCTATTCACTCCTAGCCTTCTGGAGTTCCACCAAACTCCCCCTGTGTCTGACCTCTGGACTTACCCGGACTTCTGTTGGACTTTGTCATATGCCTGATCCAACCGCTCCAATATTAATATCCGCTCCACTTTCTGACCACCTCTGCTCCATCCATCCTCCACTCCGTCCAATCACAATCCGCATCCGCCCCTACGCTTCCACTCAACCGCCTGACCAGTCACCTTCTAGAACGTCTCCACTCAACTGGAACCTCTTTCCCCTTTTAGATATATACTTTCCCCTTCAGTACATAGACCCTTACTTCCGGATCACCGGTAATTCTTCTTACCGCTCAATCACTGATCCGACACGTACATATTGATATCTGCTCCGACTTATGTCTTCACCTGTGTAAGTACTTACAAATTTTATCCTTGGTACATAGCTTTACAACATAGTTATCCTGATCACTGCCTCATACTTAGAAGTATATAACATATCCTGTACTTAGATATTTTCCCCAGTCTTAATATTACTTGTCTTCTTGCAGTTACTACTTGTGAGAATTCTCAGTAGGACCTTGCCTCCTCCAGACACAAGTTTCATCTTGTTGTCACCTCCAACTCTCCACTCCGACTTAGAGCCGTGCTCTAAGTCTTCTCCTTGCTTCTCCGCCCCTACCAAACATTCCCCCTGCTCCTATCCACCCTCTGCATCACTCCCCACCTTCTCCGCTCTGCTCCTAGTCAGCCCGCCACTAGTAGCACTTACCTCCCGACCCTCAAAGTGGACCTAAGCGGTCTACTCATCCTACCATTGGACAATGTTGGACCTGCTCCAAATTTGGGGCATGTACTCAGCTAAGGGCACAGCACAAGAGCTGAAGCCAAGCCCCAACCCCTCCGCTTCTTGAGCCGGCATGGTACCTAACATGGACTAGCAGTAGGGATGTTCACAGGTGGTATTGGGGGTGCTTGGATCCGGTATATGACACTCGGCTCCTGTATTGCATGTTGCAGCTCAAGCTGTTGGGTGCCCACGATTGGTTGCATGTGTGAAAGATAGCTCTGTGCAGTTTCTCCTGCAGGATTTTGCACAGTGTGAGTCTGAAATTAGGGTGATTCCTGATCAACTTCTTTCTCATCATATTTCAACTACCCTTCCTTCCAGCTCTTTGAAAACCAAAGCCACCTTTCTGGCTGCTGAAATCAAGTCAACATATGGAGATCAGATTATGAAAGCATTCCACACACCTGTTCTCCAACTGGCTCATGCAGGTGCCCAACCCTCACATCCTGATTTCCTCCCGTTGTGGCTGTCTGCTCCAGTTGATGACCTCACCAAGCGACTTGAGAGGCTTTCTCAGCCTGATATCTACCCATATATTTGTCAATTGCCTCACCACCACCACTTTATGTACAACTCATGCTCCCATCAAAAGTCATGCAATGCTCTGGAAAACTGCTTGTGTCTCCGTGGAATCTTCCTCAATGATTCCACAGGGACAGTGTTGTGCGACATTTATCTGTGTTATTGTCCCTTCCCACTGTCTTCTTCTGCTGCATGGGATGAGGTTTTAAATGCCATACTGCAGGAAGAATTTGGCACTCTGGTCATTCAATGCATTTCACAACACATCCCATCACCCTCTGCTTGGCGTAAAGAGGCATGTGCGGATGTGAAACACTCTGTCATAGCTGATGCCCACGGCCAACAAGCTTCCAGAGAGGAACAATGGTCTGTTCCTGTTCCTCGAGATGTTATCTTCCAGTGCTTGAAAGACTATGTCCGAGGTTCAGCATGGAAAACACCACCTGTTTGTGCTGTGTGCTCACAATATGACATGGACGCTGTTGAGATTTCAGTATTTGGTGACTTGTCATCTCTCCATCTTGACTTGTTATGAGTCTCTGACCCCTATATCATCCAGAAGTGCATCGTGCAGTCGCTGTTGACATGCTTCTCTTATGGCCATGAACTCCTCAATGGCCTGATGCTAAATAAAGCTGGACTCGTCTTTGACAGTGCTGATTGTGTATCCATGACGATGTGTTTTCCTTGCTGCACATTCTTGACACAGAACAGGATGCCTGCTTTTGTACTGGCAAACCACTTATATTGTGGAAGTCTTCCAGACAGATTTTCTGACATGACCTGGCTTGAGGAAAAGGTGTGTGTGATTTACTCAATCACTGCCCATGTGACACATTTGTTTCAATCCTCAGATCCTGCACAACCAAAGGTATTTCATGGAAACACCTGTGCTCATGACATGAATATTATGTCCCCCGCTTTTGTTCTACCACGGACCCCTGCTGATATCAATGGGTTTTTGAGTATCATATTTATTGGTCCTGAGGCATTTGATCCCAAATGAATGGGTACATTGTTCCATGTGTGGAAACACAAGATATGGTTGTTTCTGCTGTGGCTGAAGGCACACAACCACATGTATGCTCACATACCACTGGACGAGTCCATCATGGATCTATACCCTTCAGATGGCACTCTCCCTGGACTACAAGACAGAGTGATTGAAGACCATGAACTAAATGCCTGGGCAGTTTTTGCCACCGAGACAGATGGTTTTAGTACACATCCCACCAATCTCATGCATGGCATTGATGTCCCCCCCATGGTGTCTGACACCTGTGACCCTGTCCTGGTTTTGATGGAGAAAATGGGTGTGTCTGACCCTGAGTGTGACAAGATGAGTGGACAAGCATTTACAGCCTCCGCCCTGCACAACCTGCTTCCCAATACACATTCACCCACCTTGCCTGATCTGGTTCTCCATCATACAGAGTCAGTGGTGCCTGAATACCACAACACTTTGCTATTTCCAGGTATTTATCCTACCCTGTTTCCATATGGTATTGGTGGCTTTGAGGATTCTGAACATGTTCCTCCTTTGGCTTTTGAAAGGCAGGCTAAGTACTTCCTCAACATAGGTGATTGGCGCTTTCAGTATCACAAAACATTTATGTTTGTCATATTTAACATGCTCCAGAGATGATGGGCTCATCTGCAAACCTCTTTTGTTGTACGGAAATTGAACTTTGAAAGCATCATGTGCAATCTGGCCACAGTCTCAGCCGACGTTCTCATCTGTCTGGCTTCCCACCTCAAACAAGAATGGAAACTCTTGGCTCTGTCCACAGATGAGCAGAATGCACTGAAGCTTTTATGCCAAGTAAATACTAGGTCTGCTCACATACCTGGCTCCAAAGCTGCAAAGGTCTATGTGTGAAATGAGATCCGCAGCTATTATGTGTACTATGGCTTACCCCACATGTTCCTCACTTTCAATCTGAGTGCCACTCACAGTCCAATATTTCAGGTGATTTATGGTGACAATTTGTTGGACTTGTCTGAATGCTTTCCTCATATGCCTGCTGGATGTGTGCATGCCATGCACCTTGCCCATGACCCCGTCACTGCTGCAGACTTCTACAAGTTTTCTTTCCGGTGTTTGTTTCGCTTCTTGTTAGGTTGGGATTTTGATCAAGAGCAATCCGTCAAAGTTGGGGGCATTCTGGGCCATATTCAGGCATTCTATGGTACCACCAAATTCACAGAACGTGGCGCTCTGCATGGTCACTTTCTCATATGGCTCGAGGGTGGCATGAATCTGACAGAACTTCACACGCGCCTTTGAGGAGACATTGATTTTCAAGATTGATTTTTTTTGTCTCTTCGAAGCTGCTATCCATCACCACTTGCCTGATGTAGATGATGTGATTGATGACCATTTTGAACCCCAAGTACAATACCCTCCTGCACCTCTGGCCAAGCCCAACCCATTGTGGGGAACGTCCCCACTGTAGGCCCATATCCCATATAATTCCCATGCCTTACCACCATCTTCCTGTGCATTCTGCTACCATTCTGCTACCCATCTGCATCTCACCCAACCCATCTGCTACACGGAACCAAGCGGAACAATCGCGCACCATGCACATCATATCTCTTTAGCCCTCGGAACATCATCCTCTGTCCTGTCCCCGTCATTCCATCCTCACTGGTGAGTACTAGCTACATTCCCCATGTTACTAACATGTTCCTATCTCATTTCATATGTGTTACGATACCTATACGGATCCTTCTGCTACTTGGAACCGGTTCCTTATCTCACAGCCTCCCCAGTTGTAGTATAGCGCTTCCTGGAACCTCTTCCTATATAGATAACAATAGATGGGATCTTAGTTTTTTACCTTCTGATAGACTCAACTCCACTTCCACTTACAGAGTACTTCCCAGTACTCCACTCACTGTCTAAAATATCTTCCCAAATATATTCCTGATCTCATTGCAACATTCCTGCCTCCGTGAGTTCCGCTCAAAATGCCTGACATCGGATCTGACGACTTGGAGCAAGTACCAGACACAAGCCTGGTCTGACTTTGCCCAATCATCCTCCTGCAGGTTCATAGTTTCTTTTCCCTCCATTAGTTCCCCGTTTGTTCCCTGTTTGTTCTGTTTGTTCTGCATTAGTTCTGTTAGTTCCGCATAGTTCCACTCATTGCGCGTAGTTCCACTCGTTGCGCGTTAGTTCCACTCATTGCGCGCTGTGTTCCGCTCGTTGCGTACCTTCCGCATCTTTGTGTTCCCAGTCCTAGTAAGGACCGGAACCCTTCGGGTCGCTAGACAGAGTCTAGTCTTTGCTTTCCTTGCACTTACTTGAGGACCCGCTACCCAGTAGCAATCCCCTCAGGACAAGTATTAGTCTCGCACCCTTGTTAGACATCTGAATCACCCCAGAGTCTATTTTCCTCACCCACACTGTCTTCAGATGTGATAAATGACTGGCAGGCCATGCACACTTCTGAAGTCAAGAAATGTGGTGAGGTACTTCAATGCCATCACTGTTGGCCAGTCTGTCACAAATACGGAAATAAAGGACATTGCCAATTTTTGTTCCCGCATGAGGTAGTGGATTTTGACACTGATACAAATTCTGTCGTTCTTATGTGTCGTGACGGTACTGTGAAATATTTCAATCCTTACATTCTTGTTTCTTGTCATCACAACCACAACATTAAGTGTATTTTGTCCGGAAAGGGTGCTAAAGCTGCAATGTTTTACATTTCTGACTACATCACCAAGATGGATGTGAAGACTTATGAAGTCCTGTCCCTATTATCACATGCAGTGGCCCAAATACCTGAGCAAACAACTGTCAGGGCGAATGTTGTTGACCATGGCAAGACGCTCCTTGTCATGAATTCCAAACACAAATCATTTTTCATTCCTCAGCTTTCCTCTGGCTACTTCTAGTTACCAAACCGGTCACGTGACTTCACTTCCTGTCACATCTTCACCTCTTCACATATCACCCGTTGTTTCTCCAATTGGTTCCCCAACTCCACGGGCTAGAACAATCTCGCTTCCGGAAGAAGTACCGGTCGGATCTTGGGTTTCTGTTTAGTCACCATCTTACTCATTGCTTATATATCACTACATCATGATCAGTCATCCGCAGTGTTGTACGACTCTTTTATCATTGGCTGATTTCTTTCATACTCAGATATCTCCTCCTCAATGTTATGTATATAAGTAGGCTAGTTAGTGTAAGTACTCCTTAGACTTAACCTCTTCATTTCTACACTTGTAGTAGACTTAGACGTTCATGTTCAATCCTATCTTTGATCATTATCATCTGTGACTGAGTCCTAGTGGTTGTGTATTAGTCTTTGCCATTCGGTGAACACTGGTCATAACATTCCTCCACAAGTGCTTGTCAGTTGCAATGCGCTCAATCCAGATGCCCAGTGTGCCATCACAGTTGCCTCTGACTTGGCCACCAAACTTGGACAGAACACATCACCCTGCACATATCAGAACTTCCTGCTAACGGAAATTCCCACTGGTCAAGAGATGACACAGCAAGTGTTGACAGCCCAGGAAGTAATTAACGCAGTTGGTGCAGAGTTCAATCTCAACACCAAGCAATGGGTGGTGTTCCGCATGATCGCTGATTTTTTTGTGGCTAAATATGTCAAAAAGAATCTGCCAGAAGATGAGCAGCTCAGGATGCTTATGACAGGACCTGGAGGCACTGGCAAAACTCACATTGTAAAAGCAGTTCAATGTGTCCTGCAGCATTATGGCTGTGCACATCTCATCAGGTTCCTGGTGCCGACAGGATCTGCAGTTGCTCTAATCAATGGAATGACCATCCACAAATGGCTGGGGATCAAAATCAAAAGCAAGAACAAAGGGAAGGGGAATTGGGATCCTGGCACAACTGCAGAAGATTACGCGGTGTTGATCAGTGTGTCTAACCACGCACAACTGCAGGATGAGTGGAAGAATGTTGAATCCCTGTTGTTGAATGAGGTGTCATTGGTAGGCCTGCAGTTGATAGCTGAAATCAACCATGCATTGCAGTTTGCTAAAGAAAAGCCTCATCTCTGGTTCAGGGGAGTGTCCATCATATTCTCTGGCAATTTCTTTCAATTTCTGCCTGTTTGGGGCAGTGCCTTGTACACCCCAATATCCTTGTATGCTGGACAGAACAACACAGAAATTCAGAAAAGGCTTGGCCACCTTGTGTGGAAATTGTTGAATGCTGTGATCAATCTCACAGAATAACAACAGATGAAAGAAGACCTGGCTTATGCAGACTCCGTCAATTGATTGCATGAGTGCAAGTGTACACTCGAAGACATGGAATTGTTCAATCCTAGACTGATCAGGTCAGCTGACTACCCTGCAGGTGTGGATATGGGAGATGAAGACAACTGGGAAGTGGCAGCTATTGTCACCACAAATGCCCTCCGGGAGGTCCTGAATGCACACAAAGCAGATACCACATTCCCTCGCTCACAGACGCTCATGGTCTGTGGCGCATTGGATAAGGCCAGTCACGAACTCACCTGCAAAGAATGTAGTGACCTCCTTCACTTGAATGTAACAGCGCTGAAATCCAGCTCACCTCTGCCTGGCCACATTCCTCTGTATGAGGGCATGCCCATCATCTTGTGAAGCCAGAATCTGTCCACCAACCTTGGCATCACAAATGGCACTCAAGGGGTTGTCCACAAGATATTCACAAAAGTATGTCTTGTAGGCTTCGTATATGCCACCTGTGTGCTGGTAGAGTTCCCACACAGCAAGGTGCAACTGACTGACCTTCCCTTGGGATATTACCCCATTGTCCCTTCAATGTGGGCATTCACCACTGCTCTTGATGATGGCTATGGTCAGTCAGAGAAGATTCACATCACCAGACACCAATTACCAATTACGATTCCATAGCTTAGTCAGCATGTAGACTAGGTTCCAGCATGTTCATAGCTAGCTATTAGCTTCATCATCATTGTAACTGCTTGCCCTGCTCTTGGCTTAGGCTGCTGGCCCCTGCTCCAACATACTCCACACATCCTCTGATCCATCCAATATTGTTAGGTACCATGCCGGCTCAGGAGGCAGAGGGGTCAGGGCTTGGCTTCAGCTCTTGCGCTGCGCCCTTAGCCGAGTACATGCCCCAAATTTGGAGCAGGTCCGACATTGTCCGACGATAGGACAAGTGAACTGCTTAGGTCCACTTTGAGGGTCGGGAAGTAATAGCTACTAGCGGCGGGCCGACTAGGAGCGGAGTGGAGAAGGCAGAGAGTGATGTGGAGGGTGGATAGGAGCAGGGGGAATGTTTGGTAGGAGTGGGGAAGGCGGAGGATAATGCGGAGGATGGGAAAAGGGGCAAAGAAGATATTTGATAGGGGCAGAGAAATAAGAGGGACACTTAGAGCATGGCTCTAAGTCAGAGCAGAGGGTCAGAGGGTCAGAGGTGACAACAAGTTGAGACTTGTGTCCAGAGGAGGCAAGGTCCTACTGAGAATTCTCACAAGAGGTAACTGCAAGAAGACAAGTACAGTGGCTCAAAAAACTGTCCACATGTTTTCACATTTTTCACTATCTATGATATTGTGTGAGAATATACAAACACATCAAGGACATGCTGGTACCATATTGGAGTACTACTCCAGGGCTTCCAATTGAGCTCTATGGTGTGGGAATCGGCCGAGATATGGTGGAGATATGAGGCTTACAAAATGATGACTCATGTGGACAGTTTTTTGACTCAAGTATTTTACAGTGATAATCAGGTATTCTAGTACATTGTGTGACCTCCCTTGGCTTTAATTACTGCCTCTATCCTTCTAGGCATACTCTCAATTAATTTCTGGCAATATTATGCTGTAATCCTTGTCCATTCCACTGCTACTCTCTCCCATAGCTCCTATACTCCTTTAGGGGGGTTTCATAGGCTTGAAGCTTCTTCTTGAGTGTTCCCCAGAGATGTTCAATGACATTGACATCAGGGGACTGGGCTGGTCAGTCAAGAACATTGATATTATGTTCTTTAAACCATTGTCTGGCTCTTCTAGATGTGTGCTGGGGATCATTATCCTGTTAGGAAATAATGTCTTTTTCATCAATCCCTAATTCAGCTATGCTGGATAGCAAGTAGTCATTTATAATGTCTACATACTGCTCAGCATCCATCCTCCCCTCAACTTCAGCAAGTATACCCACACCATTCCATCCCATACAGCCCCGTACCATTAGAGAACCTCCTCCAAATTTGACAGTCTGACTAACCTCTCTGTCTGTTAGAAAATCCCTCTTCTGTTTCCACACATATACCTTCCCATCTGACCCAATCCTATTGATTTTGGTCTCATCTGACCATATAACATGCTTCCAGTCCTCTACAGTCCAGTTTTGATGGGCCAAGCCAAAGGTAGTCTTCTCTGTCTATGTTTGATAGAGAGAAGAGGCATGTCTTTTTTGTTACTGTCTTGGGATGAACTGCCTTGAGATGAACTGCCTTGAGAACATCCCTCACATTTTGTGAAGAGACAGTGGTGGTGATGGTGGAATTGATATAATGGGTGGCTTGGACGGCATTATTAGCCTTTCCTATAGTGATATGTTGGATGATAGTCATCTTATTAGCAGAGGTGGATGTCCTCCACAAGAGTTTTCCTTGTCCAGATGGCTTTCTTTGATACACTTGGCCACAGTAGACTTGCATACTTCAGTTCTAGAGGAAATTTGATGAACAGAGAGGCCAGCATAGGACAAAGAGAGGATATTGTCCCTTTGAGCAGAGGAGATGGCTTTCATGGTGATTATGACTATGACACATGAGACATTCTAGTTTATATAGTTAGATATAGTTTTAAGAGTATGCCTAGAAGGATAGAGGCAGTAATTAAAGCCAAGGGAGGTCACACAATGTACTAGAATACCTGATTATCACTGTAAAATACTTGAGTCAAAAAACTGTCCACATGAGTCATCATTTTGTAAGCCTCATATCTCCACCATATCTCGGCCGATTCCCACACCATAGAGCTCAATTGGAAGCCCTGGAGTAGTACTCCAATATGGTACCAGCATGTCCTTGATGTGTTTGTATATTCTCACACAATATCATAGATAGTGAAAAATGTGAAAACATGTGGACAGTTTTTTGAGCCACTGTAATATTAAGACTGAGGAAAATATCTAAGTACATGATATGTTATATACTTCTATGTATGAGGCAGTGACCAGGATAACTATGTTGTAAAGCTATGTACCAAGGATATAATTTGTAAGTACTTACACAGGTGAAAACATAAGTTGGAGTGGATATCAATATGTACGCATCGGATCAGTGATCGAGCGGTAATAGGAATTACCGGTGATCCGGAGTAAGGGTCTATGTACTGAAGGGGAAAGTATATATCTAAAAGGGGAAAGAGGTCCAGTTGAATGGAGATGTTATGGAAGGGGACCGGTTGAGCGGTTGAGCGGAAACATAGGGGCAGATGCAGACAATGATTGGACAGAGTGGAGGATGGATGGAGCAGAGGTGATCAGAAAGTGGAGCGGATATTGATATTAGGGCAGTCAGATCAGGTATATGACAGATATCCCTCATCCTGCAACAGATTCTACAGTGAGTAAAACACAACAACAACAACATGGACGAGGAGGAGGACTGGGAAATTTATGGGCCGAAATCTGCCCCACCAGTCCTTTAATGGTGCTGTGACAAGAGAGTGCTCTCAACCAGCAACATTACCATCACTAAGAGATGGATCAAGCAGGGTCAAGATTTCCCAGACCAGATACCACTCCTGAATGATCTCTTTAGGCTTATATCTCTGGTCAACACTGTCCCACAAAATACCCTAAGCAAAATCCTGCCTGCTAACAATCTCTCCATGTGAGCTTTAAAGAATTTTAAGCTCCCCAAAATTGCCACTTGGCATTACATGGATAAGATCTCATTTACGGAAGACCCACCTGCTGGCCAGTGGGCCTTGTGAGCAGAGATTCCTCCCCAGCCATATGTCGCAGAGCTTTGTACAAAGTTCGGTCAAGCACTTCTGGATGGGAACCTGTCAGTGCACGATCCTCACACCCCTGATCTCCAGTATCCTTTCTGGGTGATCCAACTCTGGTGGTCATGGCACATCGCCCATGATGACATAACATATTGGCAGGGCACGGGGGCTTGGCTAATGGAGAAGAAGGCAGTGTATCAAGCTGATACTCAGGTCTTCAGCCTTGCAGAGAAGAAACTGGCTGTTCTCCCCTGGAATGCGTCTGTGCAAGGACCAGCTGCGACCACTAGCAGAATGACAAAACATCTCAGGCTGTTTCTATCTGACGACAAGTGGTTGTCAGATATGCTCATCGACATGATGCCTGCTTGTCTGGTCACTGATTTGTATGCAAAACCAGCTGACATTATCATTGCCAACACCTGTTTCAGCAATGCCATCCTCAGATTTAGAGAGACACACTGGAAGTCACAAAACAACCCACTGGAGAAATTTGCAGAGAGTGCAGGGACTCACAGATACCTTTATGCTCCTATCTACACTGAGGGTCATTACATCGCGCTAGAAATCGACTTTGAAACAAAGTCTTTCAGATACAGTATGTACTTGGTGTTTGACGTGCAACTGTCATATACCGGATCCAGAAACCTCCAATACCACCTGTGAGCATCCCTACTGCTGGTCCGACCCCCTGTTTCCCCGTCCGCTCCATCCCTCTCCAACAATGCACAAAGTGCATCTCAGCAGGACTAGCCCTGCTACCTCTGCCTGACTCCGCTCCACTCCTCCAACACTACCCCTATTTCCTCCAACACTATACCACTTCCATCCGACCCTATCTGGAGCTCCGCTCCTCCACCCTATTGGTCTGCCTGATCCTACTCCTACTCCCTCTACCATCTCCGCTTTTCCGACCCACTCAGGTCCTTCAGTTCCACTTGTGTTGCCCCACCCGACTATTAGTCCACCCGACCGCCTCACTGGTCCACTCCTAGACTAGGAACCACTCAACTGGTCCTATCTCCTTTTAGTATCATAGTTCCTCCTTTCGGATCGCCAGTAATTGCTATACCCAAGCAATTATTGATCCGTCATGTATATACTATTCTCTGAGCCTCTTTCTCATATGTCTCAGTCATCTTTCTTGTAATCCTGTACACTCAGCACATAGCCTTCTACTATGCTATGCTACTTACTTAGAGTATATAAACATATGTACATCTGTCTGTAGATCTTTACTCTGAATATTACCTTTCCTAAGCCCTGCTCTTCTGTCCTTTGACTTAGGCTTAACCCAAGTCAACTCCTGTTTGCTGACCTAGGGGATTGACTCCCTAGGTTGGCCGCCTTCTCTGCTCATCCGACTTCCTGTGCCTCCGCTGCCTTTCCTGTGCATCGGACGTGTGGCTACTACTCTTGTACCTCTGTCCTGCAAGTTTCCATCCTGTGTCGGACTTCATCCGGGCAGTCTCCTCTGCTCCATTCTTACTGTTAGCTCCAACTGCAGTAACCCTCAAACTCTCTCCTGTAGGGCGGACCAATCTCTGCCCGACGTTCCCATGCTTATCTAGTAGTCCATTGGTCCTCCTTTGGAGGACCTCCACTCCGACGTCCTGTCAGAGCTCGTAGAACTCAAGTCGGACTACAATCCGAAATTAGGGGCACATACTCGAGTGAGGGGTGCAGCGTACGAGCTGAAGCCAAGCCCCTCAGACTCTGCCTTACCCCTGAGCATGGTCTTAACAGCAACAAACAACCTAATTGAAACACAGGCAACTCTCTAGCTTCTAGGAAACCACCCCAAGGTCTGATCGCCAAATTGAACTCTTGGCTCTCTTCCTGCTTTGGCACAGACTTTACCAATGATGGGCCTACCTTGCCCCATGGGCACCAAATGGACACTGTATCATGTGATCTCTTCACAATCAACACTATTGAGCACAATGTCTTTGGATATAAGCTCGGCATTGCCAACCCTGCTGCTGAGCATGCAAGGTGGTTCTGTTCAACCTTGCAAGATCAGATGGACCATCAAAGAGCCCCACTCGCCTTGGATGCATCCAATAATGAGGTGGGGCCATCATCTCATCCTGGGTTGCTGGTGGGCCATCACCTCCATGTGCAGAAAAAATTATATCTTTGGAAACAACAGGCCCGGAAACAGCATGAAAAGGTTGAGAAGGCAGAATGTGAGAAGGCAGAATGGCTCGAATGTGAGAAGGCAGAAGCAGAATGGCTTGAACAGGAAAGGGTCAAGAAGGCAAAGGCAAAACCCCTCGAACACAGTGTGGATATGAATGATGTTGATATGAACAACAACAGCATGGATACTGACATGTGTGCGTCCCAGCCAACCCTCCCCCTCCTTCTGATCGCGACACACAATGTCCTAGCTCCCCCCCTCATAAATCCTCCTACAGGGACTATCCCCCTCATCAACTGGTCTCTCCCCCTGATAATTGCGGTAGGTTGACGTCCTATAGAGACTATGCCCCCTCTCAGCGGGAGTGTGTCATGTCCCCTCGTTGAGTTTAATCCCATTCCCCACCTTGGTGTAGCTGTTCTCCCTCACCAAGACCACGAGAAGGATATCAGAGGTCACATTACCAGAATCCTCGAGGAAGTTGTGACTGTAAGTATCCTTCAATCACACGCCTAGACACAACTAATTTGTGTCCCTGTAACACACACTGCTCACAGCTACTCATCACATCACAACCATTGAGTAACCCATCCCCATGAGTTTCACATTATAATTAATGTGATTCTAAGACCAACTTGAAATGTCTCTAGCAACCCCTGTTATACATCCTATTGCTGGTCCTTTGATGCAAGCATTGTCTGCCATGCCATCTGCTCCTGGCCCTTCGTCGCTCGCTCCTATCGCTCCATCACAAGTCTTACCTCTTGCAAACATGACATCAATTGCAGGCTTCAACAGGATGAGCCATTTTGCTGCTGACACCGCTAAAACTCACTGGCTCATTCAGCGCCTTGGTCAGTTTGACGCAGCTGATACCGTTGACTTGGTGCATCCCGACTACCCTTTCTTGCATGTTGTCTCACACAGTCAGTTAGTAGTATTGAAAAAGACTGAAGTGAGACTACACATGTGGACTGCACAATACCCAGACATACCACTGTGGTTTTTGGGTGTTTGCTGCCTATCCAGGGGCCTGGATTGGCAGGTATTGGTTAGCTGTAATGATCTTGTGCTTCCTAGCCCTGCTGCACGCATTCCTGTCCCCACCCATCTCAATGCCCGGGGTCAAACCCTGTACTGGCACTGCAACATTTTCTAGGAATATCACACCCGTGTCAAGGCCATGCTTGCCCTTCCATTTGTGTGCCATTTTCTTACCATGGGTGGGTTAGTTTGGCGGATCACATTGCACTACGGGCCGGAAAGTCTGCTTGCTGCCACCCTGGCCGGGCTATCCACTGATGCTTACCTGCACCACTGTATCCACTGTATTGGTAGTGACATCGACGACATGGTGACCAATGCTGATATTGACCTTCTGTTAGGCAGCACTGGAAACAGTTCTTTATGGCCTCCCATTGATGTCTTTGAAAAGTGCCCCAAGTGGCAAGGAGAGTGGACCAAGAAGTGGGAGGACTGATTCCAAAGATGTCTCTGTGACATTGATTCTCACAACATGAAAGTTTTCTTCACCCATAAGAAGTGGATCAAAACCAAAGGTCAATATACCATCACTAAGTACAATGACCCTGGGCAAGTTGGATCTGGCAGTCATGCTGCAAAGTTGTGCACTCTGGCTGATGCCCAGTATCCACCGATGGAATTGTACTGTGCTTTAGTTTAGAAGTTGTTAGGTTTATTTGCTCCTTCGTTCATGTTCTAATACCCACTTGTTGTTACTTCATTTATTTTCTAATGCCCTTGCTTCATTCATGTTTCTAACAACTGCTTGTTACATCACACAATGGCATGGTACGGGAAGGTGCATCATCACAGGAAACATGCTGTCAATGGCACAGACAAGCACAACAATCACTGCAGAAACGAGATTTAGAACCGACCAGAATAGTATATGTTTAGAGGCTATAAACAGAATGTAAACGGACAAGGCAAAACAAGGATATTTCTACCCATCCAGATCAAAAAAGGTGCTCGTTTGAGAAGTAAAACCACCTCTGAATTGTAAGAATTTTCAGGGATAGGGTTGTTACCTTAGTGTCTAAACCAACACAGTATCAAATCAGATTATGAGGATCTGCACATCCCCTTCATGTCTGCATTTAAGAGAAAATGGATCTGCTTCTATTCTGAATAGGTATGTAGTGTATCAGAGAACCATCCTGCTAGCCCCCCCACAGATGCTCCCTGGTCCTTGGTAGTATCCTCCACTACCCTGTTCGGCCATGTACTAGTTCCAAGGCCAGCCTCAGAGACACCCTAGCAGTGCTCCTACCCACATTAATGCACATGATTATCAACAACCAGTGGGAGAAACATACCCTCCAAGCAAGGTGTCTTTGCAGGCACCCTCTGTTGTTCCTGGAAGCGACGAATATCAAGCCATGATGTTATACTCGATGGCTCGACAGCCTGCTCACCTTCTGCACATGAACCAGAACATGTATCAGTGAAATGGTGCTGCACTACAAACAGATTTGCATGATCAGTCAACAAATCTCAATGTGGTGGTTGCACATCTTGTCACAGAGGTCAAACGACTCACTGAACATGCCCAACACACTGATAAGCTGCTTTCCACCACAAATGAACACATCCAGTAGCTCAAAGACATCATTGAGTCTTCATTGAAAACAAAAATCCAGAGGCAGTCAAAGAATGTCTTGACTGTTTCAGAGACTTTCAGATGGCAATTTTGACAGTCTATATAGAAGTATAAGTTAGTCATTCATATAAGAGAGATATTTAGTACTTACTACAGGTCCAGGTGTACTTGTTTTGAATGTGAAACTGAATGCTTGAATTTGCGCAGGAAGTTCAAGTTTGATGCTGTTCATGGCTTGTCTTAAGGGACTTAGTGAAATTTTCAACAAACTCACCTGAAACCAACTTCTAGTGTAATATGAAGGCCGTAGAACAAATATCCTGGGTGACTTAGCATGGTATTTTTCTAAGTGTTCATCGACAAATTCGTTCATGGCTTTTTCTTCTGGTGCAGATAAAGGATAGATTTTGCATGACCGTGGTTCGAAATCCAGTTTAAGTTTTATTTTATGGTCAAAGGGTTGAGACGGGGTAAGGTGTCCATAGCTGCTTTGTTAAAGACATCTTTGTACATATGAAAAACTTCTGGTATGAGTTCTTCAAACATTTTTTGCTTTTCTTTTGCATAAGCTTCTTGTGCTCATTGTTGTGCGACGTTCACAGCTTTGTGTATTGGGAGAGGTGTGAAGACGAATCTTACAGAATTAGGGACTTTTGAGATTCTGTTTGTTTTGGAGACAAAGGAGAATGATGAGGGGATGTGTTCTTGGGTGAGTGGAGTGTCAAAGTTTGTTTTCTCATAGACTCCCACAAATTCTTCTCCTTTGATGTAAGCAATAAGTACTTTGTTGTCGGCTAATTCCTCAATTATTTCATCAGTGTCTTCTTCTTCAGATAAGAGATCCAGGGTTTCTTCGGTAGTTGTTTCTGAGGGAGTGAATGCTTCTTTGTCTTCTACTTCTTCAACATGAGGTTGAAGGGATGCATGATGACTTCTATATGCGATAAGAGTCTGGATCATGATTGGATTGGGTTCTAGTGAGATTTCGCTTTTGGACCAATCTATCTGTGGGTTTTCATTTTGGAGCCATGGAAGTCTGAGGATGATGTCTTCACCTCCAAGGGAGGTAATAAGGAAAGTGGTGAACATTGTTCGGCCACCTGTGGAGAAGAATAGATTACAGGCTTTAGTAATGGTTCCTGCTTTGTTCTTTGTCCCATCCACATTTTAAACTTTGATCTGTTTAGGGAGGGAGTGGGTAGAGAAGTTGTTCTTTTGAACATATTTCAAGTTGATGAAAGTTCCAGCAGCTCCTGAATCAATTAGAGCAGCTGCTTCGGCAGTTTTATTGGACTTGTAGGATTCAATTGAAATAGGAATGCGCATAGAATTTGAATCGCCTACAGAAGATACAATGAGTCTGATAGAAGTACTAGGGGTTTCTGATACTGGTCCAGTTTCCCCATTTAGAAATCCTTCTTAGAAGAGGAAGGTGTCTTTGATGCTTTCCAAGCTTTCCAAGCTTTCCAAGTGAGGAATTCCTGATATTCTGCATCTTGATCATCTTGTTCGATCTTGGTTTTGCAGACTGGTCAACCAGCTGGTTTCTGCCAGCCTGGGGTGGAGTCTCTATGGTTAGGGCAATCTTTCATAAGCCCTTTCTTTCCAGATTTAAAACATAAGCCCATCTTGCAGCGTCTGTCTTGTTCTGAGCATGAGAGCCTTGTGTTGTGTACTTGGGTGGTGTCTTCTTCGTCTATGTTAAGGTCGTGCTCAAGGGAAAGATTACTCAAAGGGCTTCGGCTTCAGCTCATGCACTGCGCCCCTTACCCGAGTACGTGCCCTTAATTTCCGAGGGGCAGAGGGGAAGTCCGACAGAAGTCCAGAAAGTCCGGAGGTCAGACATAGGGGGAGTTTGGTAGAACTCCAGAAGGCTAGGAATAGATAGAGCAAGGCTACTACAGACAAGTCCAGAGTAGAAGCAGGACAGAGTTAGACTACCCTAAGGTAGAGCCGGAGATTTAGTCCTAAGGTTTTAACCCTAAGACTTGGAGGTAGACAAGAGATTAGACTCAAGTCCAGAGAAGCAGGAATGAGCAGAACTAAGATGATATTTGAACTAAGGAGTACCAGAGTATTATAGGGGTTTATATACTGTAGGTGTTAGGTACCGAGCCGGCTCAAGAAGCAGAGGGCTCGGGGCTTGGCTTCAGCTCTTGCACTGCGCCCTTAGCTGAGTACGTGCCCCAAATTTGGAGCAGATCTGATGTTGTCCGACGATAGGACGAGTGGACCGCTTAGGTCTGCTTTGAGGGTCGGGAGGTAAGTGCTACTAGTGGCGGGCCAACTAGGAGCGGAGCGGAGAAGGCAGAGGATAATGCAGGAGGTGGAAAGGAGCAGGGGGAATACTTGATAGGAGTGGAGAAGCAAGGAGAAGACTTAGAGCATGGCTCTAAGTCGGAGCAGAAGGTCAGAGGTGACAACAAGATGAAACTTGTGTCCAGAGGAGGCAAGGTCCTACTGAGAATTCTCACAAGTAGTAACTGCAAGAAGACAAGTAATATTAAGACTGGGGGAAATATCTAAGTACAGGATATGTTATATACTTCTAAGTATGAGGCAGTGATCAGGATAACTATGTTGTAAGCTATGTACCAAGGATATAATTTGTAAGTACTTACACAGGCGAAGACATAAGTCAGAGCGGATATCGATATGTACGCGTCGGATCAGTGATCGAGCGGTAAGAAGAATTACCAGTGATCCAGAAGTAAGGGTCTATGTACCAAAGGGGAAAGTATATATCTAAAAGGGGAAAGAGGTTCCAGTTGAATGGAGACATTATGGAAGAGGACCAGTTGGGTGGTCAAGCAGAAGCATAGGGGCGGATGCGGACAATGATTGGACAGAGTGGAGGATGGATGGAGCAGAGGTGGTCGGAAAGCAGAGCGGATATTGATATCGGAGCGGTCGGATCATGTATATGACAGTAGGTATCATGTAAGTAAATCAGTCAGAAAAGTAGAAGCTATGTACAAAGCATGTGGAAAGTCTATTAGTAAGTGCATAACAGATCAAAGCAGTGAAGTTGGAGATGAAGTACAAACGGACAGATCAGTAAGCAAAGCGGAAAGGACATACCCAGTAGCCAGAGCAATAGTTGTTCTAAAAGGAGATAGTTGAGAGTGCGGAGATGAAGGCGGAGCACCAGGCAGACAACAGGACAGAGAATCTGGACTTTAGTAGGGGAGATCCGGAATTCCGGATCCAGAGGTATGGGATATGACAGTATCCCCCATAACTCGGTGAGAGGATTGGGTTTGCTCGGATAAGCAGAGTGGAAGCCTGAGATGAGTTCCGACACATTCCCGAGTTCCGTGGTGAGGAGCCAGGAAGTTTCTTTGTCCATACCTTCATAACCAGTCCAATGTACCAGGTACAGGAGTTGGCAATGTTGCCTTTGGCAGTCAAGTTTGGAGTCCAGGATTTTGGAGATTTCATACTCTGGTTCTCCATCAACTTCAACTGCAGGCGGGGGTGGCTGGATATGATTATGGATGGTGTTTGGAGTTGTGGGCTCCAACTGCAAGATGTGGAATATGGGGTGTACGGATCACATGGAGTCTGGAAGGCAGATGGTGAAGGAGTGGGTACTGGGACGGGAAATGATGTCAAATGGCCCTAGGTTCTTTTCTGATAATTTCTTGGAAGGCTGGGTGGAACGGAAATATTTTGCTTTAAGAAAATATCATTGTACTGGTTATGATAGCTGATTGTAGCGCAGCATAAAATGTGCAACATGGATGGAGCACAGATTTATGGATGAAGGACCTTTGGTTATCTACAATTGTATTCATTCATGCACAACAGGTTTGTTGTTGTGATTGTACTTCTGAGGAAGGGTGCAATGAGTGTACTTTTTGAAGGTGAAACTTTTCTTGATGTCATAGTATGTGGAGTTATAGACCTGGCTTCCAAAGGGGCATGCACTGTGGTCTGGATGAGCTTGGGATTTGATGCTAAAATGTATTGGGCAGCAATTCTGTAAATTCCTCATGTACCTGTCAAGGAGGGAAGTGCGGTTGGACTCAGGAGTTTATTTAGCTTATCCCATGTCTGACAAAACTAATTAATAGAAACAGAAAGTATCTACTTTAGGTGCTACTACTACACAGAGTCCCAGTTGTTGTGGACAACACGTGTCCATACATCACCCACCCAGACACAGTCAGGATGTAGCCGTCATTGTCATATACCCGATTCAGCCACTCCCAACACCATTCGTAGATGTCCCTACCACTGGTCCGACCCCCTGTTTCCCTGTCCGTTCCATCCCTCCTTCTCCAACAATGCACAAAGTGCATCTCAGCAGGACTAGCCCTGCTACCTCCGCCTGACTCCACTCCGCTCCTCCGACACTACCCCTATATCCTCCGACACTATATCCCTACCATCCGACCCTACCTATAGCTCCGCTCCTCCACCCTATTGGTCCGCCCAATCCTACTCCTACTCCCTCCACAATCTCCACTTTTCTGACCCACTTGGGTCCTTCAGTTTCTCTCGTGTTGCTCTGCCCGACTATTGGTCCGCCTGACCGCCTGATCAGTCCGCTCCTAGACTACGAACCACTCAACTGGTCCTAACTCCTTTTAGTATCATATTCGGATTGCCGGTAATCCATATACCCAAGTGATTATTGATCCATCGCGTACATACTGTTCTCCAAGCCCTTTCTCGTATGTCTCAGTCATCTTCTAGTAATTCTGTACACTCAGCACATAGCCTTCTGCTATGCTATGCTACTTACTTAGAGTATATAAAAATATGTACATCTGCCTGTAGGTCTTTAGTCTGAATATTACCTTTTCTAAGCCCTGCTCTCTTGTCCTTGTTTCTTGGGCAAAACCCTTGACAAACTCCTGTTTGCCGGCCTAGGGGATTGATTCCCTAGGTTGTTCACCTTCTCCGCTCATCCGACTTCCCGTGCCTCTGCTGCCTTTCCCACATGTCGGACTTGTGGCTAATCCTCTCATACCTCTATCATCTGTGTTTCCGTTCCTACTGTTAGCTCCGACTGCAGTAGCCCTCCAACTCTCCCCTGTAGGGCAGACCAATCTCCGCCTGAAGTTCCTGTGCTTACCTAGTAGTCCATCGGTCCTCCTTCAGAGGACCTCTGCTCCGACGTCCTGTCAGAGCTTGTAGAACTTGAGTCAGGCTACAATCTGAAATTAGAGGCACGTACTCGGGTAAGGGGTGCAGCGTATGAGCTGAAGCCAAGCCCCTCAGACTCTGACTTACCCCTGAGCACGGTGTGTGGACAACAAGTGCAGCAGCGAGAAATCGATCTACTACAAAGTTGGGTCTTTGCTGCCTACTGCCTCACTTGAGAACAAGCACGTTCGACCCTTAAGAGGATTGCTACTGGGGAAACACTAGTCTCTGTCTAAAGCGACCCTATAGGATGAAGGATCCGCAAAAGCGGATGAAACAGATAGGATGCGAAATGTATGGATTCGTCGGATGGAGCGGATGATACTCGCGGATCGGACAGGATGCGAATCAAAGTCAAAGGAAGTTCATTAAAGGTTGGATGGATAGTGGGTATAAGTCAAAGCGATTTTCTGGTAAGGTGCAGGAAAAGTGGGAGGAAGTTACATGAAGTAAGTATTTTCCGAAAACTTCTGTGCTTATAGGGTACAGTATTTTCAAGGAACACTTAGTATAGGTAGCAAGTCTAGACTGTGCCATAAGCTATCTGGAAAATAGTGGAGTGTGAGAGGATATGTCTGTGTTCAGTCAGTAACAAGGAAATGTGTGTGAGTACGTACCAATGAGGTAGAATGGACGTGGACAGGACAGATGCAGCGGATGCACAAGCTATAGGGGGAGATCCGAAGGTATCCGCTTGTCATCCGAAAAGCAGATGGGTATCGGATGGAATGGATTGGTGTTGGATGGACATCGGATGGATGCCTGATGCATCGGAAAAGTGGTGGATACAAGCCTAGCATAGGGATACTCCCTACAACGGTCTTAACAGTCATGCAGACTCCCAGCCCTCGAAACAGGTCTCTTTGCTGACCTCTCAGGCGAAACTGGGATGAGTAGGTTCTTGGGGCGCATATTCCGCACTGTAGAGCATGAACCACCTTATATACCGTGTTTGACGATTAACAAACTTTGATATATATTGTTCAGCTCTCATGAGGTGACGGGGGTCATCAAATGGCTGGTGTAGGCAGTTTGAACAGTAATTGCTCATACCTTGAAGTGGTGCAATTTCACACCAGTGTGGTGAAATGTGATACAATGTGGTATTTTACACTATGCACAATGTCCGATCCTGGTTCTATAGATGAACACATACCCACAGACATTAATTTTACTGCTAAAGCAAGTCATAACCATATTTATAGGCACTAGTTCGGCAAAATGTAATGCAATGTGTTTCATAACACAGCATATGTAGGCATATGATTTCGGATCACTGCTTCTTTTAGCAGTATTGCAGATGAACACGCATGGTACATGTGCAGTGTCTTGACATGTTGCATGCCGGTGGATCCACAATCTCTTGTGTCCATGACATGTGAACAACTGTTGCCCACGTGTGGTTTTATGACACATTCATTGCCTTTGTATTACTCTCCATCAATGATTGTGTGCTTGATGGGCTCACTTACATTTAAAATGGTGGCAGTGTGTGTTCAAGTAACATTGTACCTGTGTGGAACCCATCACATTGCAACAGCTATGGCAGACACCAAGCTTGAATCAGCAGTGGCCTTCGTCAACGAGGTTTGTCTCTCACACCATGGATGTAATTGCTGACCACAAAGCCAGGGCTGTCTTGCACCCAGGAGTTCATGGATGACTCAGTCATCCAACTGTGTATGAAGGGGGGCATATTCCCCTTAATTCAGAGGGCATTGGATAATGAGGATGGTATCACATTCAATGAAGAACCTGCAGTTGCACCACACGAACGTAGTGTCCCAAATGTCAAATCCTGCATTTTCACTGGCTCTGTCGCTGGGGTTATGGGTGTCTGCCACAAAGACAATGAGATGGAGATGCAGGTGGACTCCACTTCACATAACAATGGGACCCATAAACAGAATGGGAAACGAGATCGTCACTGCCTGCAGCACACCCAGAGTATAACAACATATAAGGTGACCCAAGGTGTACCAGCTCTATGCTAACACAAGGAGATCGCTCTTGGAATGACACCCACAATTGGCATGGAATTTCAAAACTTTCCCAGCAGAATGTGCAGCATCACCACCCTAGGTAACTATGACCCTGCAAATGGTGGTCATTTAGTTCTGTTTGACCTTGGACACATTGTTCAGTTTCCACCTGGATCCACAATCCTCATACCCTCAGCCATCCTGTGCCATAGGAATGTGCCCATTGCCTCTGGAGAAAAATGCCTATTCTTCACCCAATACTTTGCAGGAGGACTTATTAGATGGGTTGACTATGGGTTCCAGACAGAAGCTAATTTTAAGAGGGAGAGTCCTTCACTGTGGTTTGCAGCCAACCGTGGGAGGGAGGCTAGGGTTCAGGAGGCAGCGGAATATTTTTCCACTTCTAAGCATGTCAGGCCTGACATATGATATGTGACAAAATCATGTACCTGCTGGAAGGACTTTTCTCACTGCACGTAGTCGCAACTTTCATGCTTGCTGTGAGCAACAGCAAGCTCCACCGCTGCAGTTATTTACCAACTTTGTCTTGTAGTGTTTTTCAGTACCACAATAAAACATCCAGTAACATTGAGTTCTCGTTTTTGAGGACTAGGTAGAATGATTAAGGATACATGAATGTATGAGGACTTTTCAGGTATATTGGCTCCTCCTGCTCATCTAGGGGCTGAGCAGCATCACTCCCAGGTCAAACATATTCATGATTAGTTGATGAATTAATATATGTCATGGCAGATTAACCCATCAAATGTGCCTTCCACAATGTTACATCACTTGATACTACATGATGTGTATTGTCTGAATGGAATAAATCTCCTACAAGTTGGATTGACTTTAGTACAGTGAACTGTAAGTCTGTACTTCATTTTTATACAGGGTTGAAGCATTCACATGGGGATGCGACAGGAATAAACTACAAGCTTAATACAGTACATGCCATGCATCGTTAGAATGTGAGCCAAAAAAAAAGTAAGTACTGGTGACCATCACAGGAGGGACTTTGAGGACTTGTGTGCCTCCAACCTGGCTCCAACTGTGCTAATGTGTGCTATGAAAGATTCCACACGTGCCTCGAATGCAATAGCTTCAAATTCGCCTCATGGGATGGAGCCGAGATCATGGAGATACTCGGCAATGCCTGACTGATACTCTGGGGCAGCATACGCTTTCCTCAGCAATGACGAATACATCTCCAAGGTCTCGCCCCTTGAAACATACCCAGCCAAACTAATGTGGACAGCCTGGTGTTCCATCCCTAACATGACACTAGAAGAACTGGTAGAAGTGTGAGAGCCACCCGGTGCCAGCAGAGGAACACAGATGGAGGCAGTGGAATGACCTCCATCGTTCATTGGAATTGGAATAGGTGCTGCAGCTGGGGGAGCAGGAGGGCCCAAGTCAGCAGGACTGTCAATGGCATCAACTTCAATAGCCATATGGGCAGCGACATCTCCAGCTGGAATGGGTGGGAAAACAGGAGGAAGCCTGATGGCACCCTCAGCAAAAGCACCACCAGTTGCAGCTCCACCTTAGGAGGTAGAACACATTAGTTATCAACGGTGGGTTAAAAGTATGGTGTTTCCTTACTGGAAGATGTTGTGGATCCATCACTGGACCTTTCAACATCCATGGCATGCTTGCCTTTATTGTTGATGGACTGCACCACCGCCAAACACACTGGGAACTGCACATGAGAGGCAGAAGTAATCTCAAGAGAGTGCTACTGCTTACCCTGGTAATTGACCCACATTGGCCCTGCATCCTGCAACACCTGCTTGACTGTCTTTCCCTCCATGCTTACCTCATTCACAATCCATGTCCACCCATCACAGAAACCTTTGATGTCAGAAATTCTTCCCAAGCCCTCCCACATGATCAAATCTTCATCACTCCAGTTGGCTTCGGCATCCTCATACCCCCGGTGCAAGTATCCCTTGAGGAGTAATTCAGCTTCAAAGGTGTTGAAAGGATTGTTGGGCACTAGAATAAAACCAAATGTTGATATATGTCATAAGGGGACGGTGGAGATGCCCATGCCCGTGCTTTGCCAAGGGCCAATCGGCCTTCCCTCAAATAACCAGATCTTCTTGAATGATTCCACAAACTCCCTCCAAGTCATCTCCCCCCTCCAGAGCCCAGCTGCGTTCTGCACCACCAAGTCCCAATCAGGTTTGACGCACAAGATATTGGTGAGACATTTGATGTTGGTGAAAAATTCATCAATGTGCTCATACTCTTCTTGGTCAGTGGACAGTGCATAATGCACAAAGTGGAAGGGCTGGTCCCAAAAATCATGTCCTGGTGAATTTGAAGAGCTTAATACTTACAAGTAGTAATATAGAATTATGGTTTCACCTGCAACCATCCACTCAAACTGTTTCTCTGACCAGTAGGTAGGAGTTGGTGTATGGCCCTCATGCCAGCGTTCTAGTAATTCTGCACCTTCCACATATTGAGTCTCAAAGAATTTGCTATGATTCTTTAGTTTGGCATACACCTGTGGCTTGAGGATGTTGTTGAATGTCATCTCAAAGTTTACAAGACGGCCTTGGATCCATCCCTGTGGGCATGTCATAACCTCCAGACCCTCATTGTCCTCGTCCCAGCCTTCTTCTGCAGAATTCACCTGTAAGCAATGGAAGAATATATAGGTCAATATGATGGACTTAGTGAAAAATGCTCCATTTTCTGAGCACAGTAGGTCTGCAGTCAAGTGATGCAGTCCTTCTTTGTTGGCCTCTCTGAAATCCTCGTTCAGCCAGTCTCAAAGAGACCTAACCTTCCATTTGTCCAGAATCAGTACCCACTTCTCACTGGGCTTGATATTGTGATGCAGACCCACCAGTTGGTCCACCATGAGGAGCCTGGCCTGCATGTGTGTGACAAGCACAGCCCCACAGTTCTGTTTGCATGTCTTGGTCATCTGTTTCTGCTTGTTAGTGCCCTGCTTGGTCTCCTGATCCCAATGTTTCCATCCCATAGTGAACAAGACTACATTGTAGCATAAATCTAACCATATTCCCTGGTACCTACTTGGCAGTGGTACATATCCTATTGACTTCCCGCCTTTGTAGACAGGTACCTGGCAAATGTCATACTGCGCACCATATGGATCTATAGCATTGATATCCTCTGAGGGCCCATAGGTGAATTGGATGTGAAGGTTGGTAAGGGCATCCTCCATGATGAATTCTGCATGGGTAGTCGGGATTTCAAAGGATCTGATGGCATTTGCTAGTACTTTTGGTGGCCACGGCCACTTCTTTGATGTGGCACTGATGACGGACAACACATGCTTCTTGATGGTTGAGCTGCCTTTAGACTTGATGGTTTTTTTGGGCTTGTCGGAAGAGCCCTTTGGGAGGTGTTTTGTATTGGATTTGGTGCATGCCATAATGGTGTATAAAGAAGTGGATTGTGGTACCAACACAGGTTGTAGAGTTTAAAACACATCCCAAATTTGGTGTTGTTTGGTTGTGGCTGATGTGTGCTTTTCTATAGTGCTGTGGGCTAGTGGACCACCAACTTTGTGCAACACTTTTATAAAATTCAAAAGAAAAGAGGAATATTTACTGGTCTGAATCGAGCCTCTAGAGAGATTTGTCATTGCTAAAATTCTGAGTGAGATAAAATCTGAAACTGCTACTGATTTGGCGTCTAGTCAAATACATGAGCGACAGCCTTCAGAATGCGCCTGTGAGACTTGTATTTTGTCAAACTGAACTCCTTTACATGAGCTTCTGCCTTGTTTGTGCCAAGCCCCAATCTGCATGTCTCCATCCACCGGTACATGCGGTATTCCCAACAATGAATGACCTCCAGGTTCACAGACTCCATGGCCTTCAGCATATTCTCCTTTAGTGTGTCATATGTGTAATCACAGTTTTCACAGAGATACCTCTTCACAACTCCCCAAAAGAACTGGATAATGTGATAGGGACCCTCAGACCCCTATCATCTCCACCAAACATCACTGTCACAACTGCGTCACAACACGTGACAGATGACATCACCGGCATGTGACTAAACTGCAGAGCACAGCATGACAGCTGTTGGAGCATAACAGCTCTAGACTGGACCTAGACCAGGATCAATAGAAGCCACGCGCTTCTCCCTTATCGCCCCTACCGATACACCGGTAACAACTGTTGTTTATCCTATCGCTTATCATGACAGATAGTGTTATCTGACTTGGACACCTACCGCTGTGCTGGTACCATACCCTGGACCCTTACCATTGAACTGGTACTCTTATCTCTGAGTCCTTATGACTCACATAGACGCTTACCTAGTTTGGACGCTTTCTGGCTACCCAAGCCTACCCTGAACTCATAGGACAATGCCTATATATACACCAGTAGTTAGACCATGTATTTCTCTAACTTGATCTTCACTTGTGATATATGACTCTAGTATCTGCTTTGATCCTTCAGTCAGTCATTCTGAATGAACAGCCTTCATTCAGTCTTCCATCGTCTTGGTGCTCCATAAAGTGGACATGGGATCGACCCTATCAAGTGCACTGTTGGAAAGCCAGGCTTTCCCGTAACAGATAAAATTGAGTTCACAATGAAACTTCAGTAAAAAAAAATGCAAAGGTGGCCAGCTGCTTCAATGACTTCCTGAACAAGAAATTTCTGCTGCTGGAAGTCAGGCTGATGTATGAGGATTCGTTTATTGCAGCAGTCTGTTTTATCCGAGTCGCATTTTTCGTGGACATTGTCCTAGCAGATTTTATCAGTAGAGACCACATTTCATCAGGATGGCTCCTGACTCATGCACAAGCAGCAGCAGCTTTATTGTGCTTTGAAGTCATGGAAATTGTTAAGGTCGTGCTCAAGGGAGAGGTCACTCAAAGGGCTTCGGCTTCAACTCGTGTGCTGCGCCCCAGTCCGGAGATTGCAGGAATGAGCAGAACTAAGATGATATTCGAACTGAGGAGTTCCGGAGTATTACAGGGGTTTATATACTGTAGGTATCATGTAAGTAAATCAGTCAGCAAAGGTAAGGGCTATGTACGAAGCATATGGAGGGTCTATTAGTAAGTGTACAACAGATCAAGGAAATGAGGTCGGAAATGAAGTGCCAACGGATGGATCAGTAAGCAAAGCGGAAAGGTGTACAACCGGTAACCAGAGAGCAGTGTTCTAAAAAGGAGATAGGTGTAAGTCCAGAGATGAAAGTGGAGCACCGGGTGGAACAGGACAGAGAACCGGACTTTCATAGGGCAGAATCCAGAATTCTGGATCCGGAGGTATGGGATATAGTGTCGGAGAAAATAGGGGTAGTGTCGGAGGAGCAGAATAGAGTCGGGCGGAGGTAGCAGGGCTAGTCCTGCTGAAATGCACTTCGTGCATTGTCAGAGAAGGAGGGATGGAGCGGATGGGGAAACAGGGAGTCGGACTAGTGATAGGGATGTTCACAGGTGGTATTGGAGGCGCTTGGATCCGGTATATGACAGAAATAGACAAATCATTATGAGACAATGTGTACATTTGTTGCTTGTTCATTCTGTCACCCATATGTACATACTACATGAAGTTCCTAGTAGGAGAGTGTAAAGACCCAAAGATTCCGTGTCTAAATTGAGGGTAAATCAAAAAATTTAGGCCGATGTGGCATCTGCATGAAGTTAGCTGGTGGTACACTAGTGAATGGCAGCATAGTAAACTCCGCCCCAGTCCTACTTGACAAATGATAGGCTATCTGTGCATTGGAGGGATTGTATGTAGATTTACCTCAATCACTACATGAAGATAGGCAGCACAGTCCTGCACCAACTTAATCTTTAAGCCAGTGATGTATGGGGTAAAATTACAAATATGAATCCCAAATGTCCAGAGGTGTCTACTAAGCAGGAGACCTAGCAATGAGGAGGGCGTCTCTGAAATGGCCGGTCTGGGCACAAGTCTGCATAGACTTTAGGTCTGTGGTCTGGGCACAGGTGGTGATGCTCTGATGGAGTTTGAAGATGCCGGCGTCCCCCGAGCATGGCTGACCATTACACACCCACCTTTCCCGCCAGTCACATCACGCCTCCACCCACCGCTGCCGCCGCTGCATCTCAACACACGGGCCATGGACATCACGTCCCTCTTTGCTGCCATGCAGCAACACCACCAGCTTGCCACCATGCCATTTCTCGATCTCACCACCTTTCTCCGGTGTACCAGCCTTCTCAAAGATGATATATTACAATCTCAGCCACACACTGTGTCTGTCCTCATTGCACCTGACGTACTACCCCCCTCTGTCAATGAGTTTCTGGCTGAAAGATTCGCTTTCTCCAAGGACACTGTTGATGTCCTATGGGATATCATCAAGGATCTCATTTGGATGTTACCCACAGCTGGAGAGGCCGCCAATCAGGAGGAGGAAATATTCAGATGGTATGGCCACAAGCGAGGGATCAGTAAGTCCATCATTTGTTCTATGTTGCCTTGACACTCACAGATCTTACAGCGAAGCACACTCTCTATCCTCCTGTCAAGACATGCATCAATCCAGATTGTAACACCTGGCGAAACAATTCTCTGTTGAAGAAAGAAGAGCAACAACATATAGTGGTGTTTACACATGCACAAGGCGCTCATCCTGCGTGGTCTATTCACTTGAAGTGTCGAGGTAAGTGTTCATGCCCTCGATATATCAAACTATTGTTAACTTACAGTCATTTTTCAGTGTGTCACACGAATTATCACCACAATTACAGTGTCAAGGATGGTACAAGGTCGTATTATGGTGGTATACCATCCTATCTACAAGTTGCCGAACACCAATTCATTCAGCTTGAGCTCGCGATGAGCTGGATGGATCTCATGCAGATTCCGTGAGTATGCATTAGTATCCTTCTTTTGTTTCTGACTGTTTTATTCAGTGTCTCAGCAACAAATTGTGCACGAGTGTATGATATTGCTCAGTCTCATTGAGCTCCCGATCGCAATGTCCCCTGGCAATTCAGGAGCTCGCTGACGATGGAGGAGGTGTGGGATTCCTTCACCCTCCTTGCATTGCTCGATGACCACCATCGGAGTGGGATTCACCTACAGGTTCCCCATGGGGGAGAGCAAAAAGACCGGTTCACACATGCCATGCGCGAGTGCACTGAGCGCATCATTACTCACAGACAAGAGGAGCTTCCACATGCCTGCGACGGCTGCCTGCAGGTGTTCGAGATGCCAGATGGGACACTCAGCCGCACCGAAGTTGTTGTCACTGATGGTGTCACTGTGGGGCATCTGTGCTGTGCAGTCCCATGATGCACCAACCCCCTCGCAAATACTCGTCATCGGTACTGCACTATAGACCCCACGCACAAGCATCTGGAGACGATATGCACTGTAGAGGGATGTGATTGGCCTGTGACTCGCGACGGTCAGTCTGGGAAGCTTCGCAAGGCATGTGACGACCCCATCCACCTTCAAATGGAGATTCTCAATGTCAAATCCATGTGAAGTGGCAAGAGTTGGACACAACATCAGAAACTCGCAAAGTCTGGTGATGCCACAGCCTCCATTGATGCTGGCAATGATCTCGCTATCCAAGATGGAGATGAGTGGTACGAGCATGATGAACACACTGGAGACACTCGCCTTGTGCAACCAGCGGTGACAATTTCCACTGGAGTTGACGATGAAGAAGATCGTGCCTGCGAGGCAAAGGAAACACAAGGCAAACTCAAGGCAAACTTCCGACGCCAATGGACAAACAATGAACAGCTCGTTGTTCGTCCTTGTGGGATAATCAATGCATGTAGTACTATGTACCATCACGAGGCAGTATCAAATGTTCTAGTAAGTGTTCTAGCTTGTTCCATCTTCCATCTACTGATGTTGCATAGCTGCTTATCAAGCAGATATACTCCCTTCCATGCGCACGGAAACCACAGCACCTAATCTATGACTCCAACTGCAATGCCCTCCACGAAGTCACGAGCCATCAGATCAAATTTTTCGATGGCGTCAGCATGTGTGTTGATGCATTTCATCACCAGACAAAGCATAAGGCAAGTGACACTTTGTGTCGCGAGCACTGCAACATGAAGGCTTATCCAGAGTTGTTGGATGAGGATGGCGGATACTACTTCAACTCTTCAATTGCAGAGCAGATCAATGTGTGGTTCAGCGCTTTCCACAACATTTGTCGCAAGATGACACCGGTTAAGTACGAGTTCTTTTTAGATGAGATGATCATTCGGTGCAATCGTGTTACTCTAGCTACCCTACATACACAGGGTAAAAGGCCCTATCATCCCTGTACTTAAATTGCCTTAGTTACACATCAATGTTCTTAACCACAATGTCAAGATATCAATCAACAATATCATATGCATTGCCCACAAACAGTCATACAAATCGAGGAAGAATAATGTGCTATGGAGTGGTATGTTTACTTGGCCTTGCTAGGCTTCTTGCTCTTCTTGCTCTGCTGCCCAAGTGCCCTGAAATGAGCGTCAAGGTAGTGCGACCAAAGACCCAAGGATGTATGACCCGTGGCCTCATGCTCAGCAAAGACAGTGTGATCGGTCACTCGCCACACCTTGTGATTGTGGTGATAGGTGGCTTTGACAAAGGGGATGCCAAATATGAGAGGGAACAACTCATGCTGGCGGTACATTGCTTGCAGGCGCTTGTCATCCATCTGCTGAAAGCCGGCCACCATATCAATGGTGTGCATGCCGTGGGGCCACACCTGCCATAGCTTTGCAGGATCATAGTCGGGTACAGGAATGGCAGTGATAGCAGGTTCCTTAACGGAGATTGCTCGTCGTTGTGTGTGCACCTTCACCGGGGCAGTCAAGTAATGCGAGGATGTGAGTGAAATCACAGAAGATGCTGATGATGAAAATGACATAGAGAGCGTGTCGCGAGGGGGACTGGACATAGAGAATGTGTCGCGAGGGGGACTGGATGAGGGAGAGATGATGCTGCAACTGCGGAAGAGGAGTGGAGAGGGAGTGGGCGACATAGATGTTGCATAATGGCTGTTGAAGTCCTCGACAGTGAGTCGTGGACGCACAGGAGTTGAAGCAAGCTCGCTACTCTCCTCCCATTCGCGCTTAACTTTGCTGACAGGGGAGGACATTATCTCGATGATCTCAACCTCGGCCTCGGGATCTAGGAGTGGTGCCTGCTCCTGCTTGGCCTTGAGCTTTGTTCGCAAAATGTCGCGCTCGCCTCTCATATTAAACCGAAGGTGACGAGGGCATGAGACATATTTTGACGCCATCAAGAGCTCCTGGAAGCAGTTGCACTGCATGACACCATAACGTCGGAGGAATATATGATAGCCAGACTCAAGGGAGATGGTATGTGTGAGGGCAGTGGGAATCCAGCATTGCAAGTGTGCATCGTACACTTCGATCTTCTGGATATCTGTGCCCAAGGAGGCAACAAGCTCGGGATCATTGGCAAGCTGCCATTGAGGATAGTAAGGGCACTTGGACACCCATTCCACCCTGACAGTGGCATCATCCTAGGTATAGTATGAGCAGAGTCATGACAGAAACATGAGATGACGCTTACAGAGTCAAACCAATGCAACACGAAGCGCTGCTTCGCTTCTCGTTCCATCTCCTTGCGGCGCTCCTCAGCCCGCTTATCATCAGCCTCCTGCCAGGCCCGGGCACGGAGATCAGTCGCCCATATAGGGTCCATCTGTTGCGTGATTCATGGATGCTTCACCATAGGTAGCACAGGAGGGGGAGGGGAATCAGCCTTGAAAGGCATGCTTGGCAGTTGGACACGATCACAGGGGATAGGAGCAGGTGGTGCAGACAGTAGGTCATGCATAGAAGGGACTGGTGCACCTGGGATCGGAAGGCCAAAGTCATCAAGGGAGGCCTTCAATGCTTGACGGAGCTCCTCACAGCCAAAGCTACCATCCTCAAGCTCCTCAGTCAGAAACTCATCGTGCAGATCCTCATCATCTCCATGCGAAGGCAGGCCATCATGAAATCCATGGAAATGACATCCGCCCACCTCACGACAATGCCTTGAGCACAAGTTACGGCTGCAGCGCAAGGCACGCGGGCAACGGCAGAAAGAACCTAGACACCGCTCACCCCGCTTGCGTTGTCGCTTGGTTGAGGGCTGCGTCAAGGAGGGTGGCAGCATGGTGAGGGTAGTACTGCTAGAGGAGGCAATTGGTTGAGAGCTGGGGGGACTCGGTGATGTGGTTGACATGGGAATTAATGACATGATGTGCGGGAAGGCAAGTAGTTGCGGATACCAACGGTAGAAAGTGCATGAACGATGCTGGTGATTGACATTAATACTATGCATCAAGCATCAGAGCAGCACGTATCATTGCCATTGGTTTTCCACTGTTCCCGTTCTTATCAGTCCGACATATTGACAGCAAAACTGCACCACCGCAATTGGTGCAATCAGTGACGAGGCCAGTAGAAGACAGGCGGAGGAGCAACTGTGCAAGAAACACAATGTCAGCATGAGACAGTGGAGCGGACATAGTGGGAGCGGGATGAAATATTATTGAGAGCCTAGAGGACAGGCACGTAGAAAGAGGGAAGGAGGGCAATGTGAACGAGGCAATCCAGGAGAAGATATGTACGGGAAGGAAGAGGAATGGATCTAACGGCAGGCGGGTGGGGTATTTGAGCAGCTCAGAGATGGTTCGAGTGGCATCTAAATGGAGGACGTCATTGACACCACCTCCAGTGGTGGCGGGCGGGCATAGAAGTAGCATTCCTTTGAGGTGACAGCTGGCGGGCAGCAGGTGGCAGGCAGCAAAGAGTCAGGATAAAGGATATTAATATCCTGCTTAGGTACACCTGCAAGCAGACTCCGTTTGAATCTCCCGGGCCTGCCGAGGGGTGCCCAGACTTGTGCCCAGACCACAGACCTGAAGTCTATGCAGACTTGTGCCCAGACTGGCCAGAACTCTGACATTCACACAATGAGTGGATCAGTCCCTGTTGCAGTGGAAAAAAAATAACATACAGGTAAGCGATGTGCACCATAGACGCCATGTGGGGCACCATAGAATGACAGAACCCAATGACCCCTGAGTCACAATGTAGGGCCTGGCTAGACCCAGCATAAGCTCTGCAAGGGAGTGAAGGGATTTGATGACCATTCTGTGCTGGCGCCCTACAATGCCAAAATAACATGCCAAGCAAGGCAACCCCAGCAGCAACCCCTCCCATGTAGTACAGCCTAGGAATACCATGCCCTGTAAAGGGCATGAGAGGGGGGTGCTGCCCCACCTGACATAAATACGGAAGTACACCAGAAGTGCCTGCTATGACAAGCAGGCGTATGAACAGACAGTTAGGGCTGCAGAAAACAGACTGAGAGAACAAAAATGGAGAGGGAGGGCCTACTGCGAACTCAGGCCCCAGCAGCAACCCCTCCCAGGGCAGTACAGCCTAGGAATACCATGCCCTGTAAAGGGCAGGGGGGGCTGCCTCCCTGCCTGACATAACTCTGGAAGTACACCAGAAGTGTCTGCTATGACAAGCAGGCGTATGCACAGACAGTTGGGAACAAAGTCTAACATGGATGGTGGTAGAAAGAAGAAAGGAGAGTATGACAAAAATAAATGAAAAATCAACCTTGACCAAACAAAGGCAAATTCACCACAACACACACACACACACAATCATTAAGCACATAACAATAACAATTATCAAATGACGCCTAGTATGGCAGTTTATAAATTAAGTAAACTACATAGAGATGGAGAGGAAGAGATTGAAATGAAAGAGATTTAAAAAAGGAGAGATGTGACAATACTACCTAGGATTCTGAGCATCAGCATGGCAGTCTACACCTGCTACTCATAGTTGACTCAGCGACTTCGAGTGACTACTACTTAAGGTCTTTCTGCCCCCATACCCTGCAAATGCGAACTGGATTACCGTGACCAGAAACTATACTGGCATCACTTGGATGTCAGATAATGAAGGACAATCTACAGCCAGCATTACACTATGGGCAACAACCAGCGTACCCATCTGTTTATCAAGTATAGACAGTTCCATGTCCAGTGCAGAGCAGAGACTAAGGAAGCTTGAAATTTTAGAGTGTGGCCTGTGACAGCAATACACATTGAGCAGGGAAGGCCCAGGAATGACATTACCAGTGTACCATATATACCGCACGCGGTTGAGTTCCACCCATTCATTTTCTGAAAAACGACTGAGTAATGAGATGCAAGGGAGAAAGGTGAACTTGAACTTGACTCCAATTATTTTATCAATGGTTCACCGCCGCACATTGTAGATTAGCTTTCAAACTCCGGTTGGCACCTAAGGGCTCACAGCTGTAACCTAACTGCCCATAGCGCAACTGCATAGCGCCAAGCCGTGAAATATATGTGTGTAATTTGTAATGTGTATCAGCTTTAACACCGTCCGTGTTTAGTTCAAGTGTGTGAAAAATGAGACACAATGACATAGTGATGAACAATGGAATCGGACCAAATATGTGCTTACTCATCCAATCACCACATATGTCGGACAAATCAGCACATATTGTGGCCCTGTGGATCAGGTATAAAACTAGCATGGCCAGTAACACGACCTTCTCTGCTTGCGTCCTTCATTCATCTACAACATGCCTCCTAAAAGAAAATCTACAGCAGGTGGCCAATTGGCAAGGATCTCTCACGCAGGGCTGGGAACGGTCAAGATGGGCTCAATGATCCCCCAGCCTTCCATCACCATCCACCAATCGTCCAATGCACCCATGTCCCATGCCATGAACACAGGTAACTACTGTCACTTCTGTTGTGACCACGTTGAAGCTCCGTACTCCCATGAATGCATTGAGTGTGGAGGAATAATGTGCCAGCAATTTGTGCCTCACAGCAGTGGTTGCATTTATTTCAGGACCATGGATGCCAGCAAGCCATTCTTGTGCCCAATTTGCTGCAGGACAGGAGATGGTAAGGATGCTGTGCTCCCATACACTGTGCTGGGCTATTGGATCAGGCAGAAGGTCAAGATGACCTGGCCCATGGTAGTGGTAAACCTTAGCCTGGAATCCATGAAAGACAACTACTTGGGATTGACTGTCAGGTGTGATATTGACAATCACTACAGGGATAATAAGGACAATGTAGGTTGAACCAATCCATCTGAATGACTGTGCTGGACAAACCTCATTCACAGCTATTCATTGAAAGCTTGCACATGTGCAGAAACACACATGGGCACGAGTCTAGGAAGCTTGTTCCCAGCATCGAGTTTGTGCAACGTAACACCAAAGCTGGGTTTCCACCCAACACCTTCGTCATCATTGACACCCATTCTGATAAGTACAGCGGAATGCTCCAGCACACTGGAGGACACAGTGGTGGCACCAATACCACAATCACAGAAATTACTGCCACATACTTAGGCGCTGAACTACTGCAAAGCATGGGTGATGCTGTTAGGTACCATGCCAGGCTCAAGAAGCAGAGGGGTCAGGGATTGGCTTCAGCTCTTGCGCTGTGCCCTTAGCTGAGTATGTGCCCCAAATTTGGAGCAGGTCCGATGTTGTCCGACGGTAGGATGAGTAGACCGCTTTGGTCCACTTGAGGGTCGGGAAGTAAACACTACTAGTGGCGGGCCAACTAGGAGCGGAGTGGGGAAGGCAGAGGATAGTGCAGAAGGTGGATAGGAGCAAAGGGGTTTATTGGTAGAGCCGGAAAAGCAAGGGAGAAGACTTAGAGCACCGCTCTGAGTTGGAGTGGAAGGTCGGAGGTGACAACAAGATGAAACTTGTGTCCAGAGGAGGCAAGGTCCTACTGAGAATTCTCACAAGTAGAGACTGCGAGAAGACAAGTAATATTAAGACTGAGGGAAATATCTAAGTACAGGATATGTTATATAATTCTAAGTGTGAGGCAGTGATTAGGAGATTTATGTTGTAAAGCTATGTATCAAGGATATAGTTTGTAAGTACTTACACAGGCGAAGACATAAGTTGGAGCGGATATTAATATGTACGCATCGGATCAGTGATTGAGCGGTAAGAGGATTTACTGGTGATCTGGAAGTAAATACTATGTGCAAATGGGGAAAGTATATACCTAAATGGGGCAAGGGGATTTACAGTAGAATGGATGGTGCAGAAGGCAACTGACAAAGCAGTCAAGCAGAGCCATAGGAGCGGATGTGGAAGCCGACTGGGTTGTGCGGAGGGCAGATGGGGCAGAGATGGTAGGATAATGGGGGAAGTAGGATGTCGGGTGGAGTGGATATTAATATTGGCGGAGCGGTTGGATCAAGTATATGACATATACCAGAGGGTTTGCTCTGTCACATCCTTTGCCTGCTACTACCTTGTAAAAACATTGCTTGTTCATTGGTATGTCATGTTTCGTCCACTGGAGATTGTTGGACTGAAGTTTTATTTGATGTTAAGAACTCCTGAATTGCTGTGCCTACTTTATCATATGTCAGATTGTCTGGGACATGAACTTGGAGAATCTGTTCGGAGATGCGGTTGTCCCAGGTTGCGCACTCATCCTTGGCCAGTGCCTTTGCAAGGAGTATCACCCACCAGACCATTTTTGACATCACCATTGAGTCATCTATCTCCTGCTCAATTGCATCCATGTACGACTTACGGTTGGTATGGTCATGTGATGTTTGAGTTTGGATGCATGACAAGACAGAAGACGTAGAGTGAACGGATGATGAACCCCAGTAAAGACCCAACATGATGGGATCGGGTGCCAACGCACGACATCTGAAAAATTCTTCTTGGCTAGGCAATTTCCTGGGCCAAACAGAATCCACTTGAGTGCATCCTATATATTACACGATGGGGCAGGGTTTTCCGTGATGATATCAGATTTTCACTGAAATTTACATATGTGACCTGATTCAATCATATTTATGATAGTCAAACAAATGGGATGTATTGTGACGACAGTGGATGAGATCTGATTTTCATCGTAGTTTACATATTTCACCCAATTCAAGCATATTTATAATAGTCAAGCAAATACAATGTATTGTGATGACAGCAGACAGGATTGGATGACATGGGATGTTACAGTGCAGTTGTCATATCCTGTACCTCTGGATCCGGAATTCCAGATCTCCCCTATGAAAGTCTACTTCCCTTACCATATTCTCTGTCCTGTTATTCCACCCGGCGCTCCACCTTCATCTCCATACTCACCTCTATCTCCTTTTAGAATAGCTATTGCTCCGGCTACCAGTTATGCTGTTTCTGCTATGCTTACTGATCCGTCCGTTCATACTTCATTTCTGACTTCACTGCTTTGATCTGTTATACACTTACTAATAGACTTCCCACATGCTTCATACATAGCCCTTACTTTGCTGACTGATTTACTTACATGATACCTGCAGTATATAAACTCCTGTAGTACTCCGGTACTCCTCAGTTCAAATATCATCTTAGTTCTGCTCATTCCTGCTTCTCTGGACTTGAGTCTCATCTCTTGTCCACCTCCAAGTCTTAGGGTTAAACCTTAGGACTAACTCTCCAGCTCTACCTTAGGGTAGTCTAAACTCTGTTCTGCTTCTACTCTGGACTTGTCCATAGTAGCCTTACCCTGTTCTCTCATAGTCTTCCAGAGTTCCACCGAACTCCCCCTACGTCTGACCTCAGGACTTCCCTAGACTTCCATTGAACTTCCCCTCTGCCCCTTGGAAATTAAGGGCACGTACTCGGGTAAGGGGCGCAGCACACAAGCTGAAGTTGAAGCCCTTTGAGTAGTCTTTCCTTTGAGCATGATCTTAACAGCAGTCAGGCATTACTGTAAATAGCAGGGCGGGGGCAAAAATGCATGAAAGTGGGGGGAAAACATGCAGGCAGGTAATGAAAAAGACATACAATGCAGGGGAAGAACCCTTTGTCCACATCCCTGCGCTCTGCAACCACTCTGTGTCAGCCTTGTACTCATCTTGCTATGCGGTTGTGAGTACTGCTCAATACACACAGAATTCTTCGGTTGTTCCACTCATCTCATTGACCTGCTTCAGCCAACGCCATGCGCATAAGTTTCTGCATGACAAAGGTTAGTGTGAAACATTAAGAGACAGGCATACTAATACTTACTGAGTGTTCTATGTGGCACCTGGTCGCATCTTCTTCTTTCCCTCCATTTTTGCAGCTGACTTGTTGTTGGATATCCTTGGTCCATTGTTGTTTGGCTGCTTGATTGGGCTAAGTGCTGGGGCAGGGACTCTCTTGGCAATTCTGTTAGGTCCGAAAATAACAGCACTTTGTAGCGGTGTAGTTAGCAAGGACAAGTATGCAGTATGAGGTACTTACAGTGGATCCTGCAATGTGAAATTGCGCGAGTATTGAGCAGTGGGTCCAGAAGAAAAATCTATGTTGCTGGCGAACATGGTGGTAGCAAAGAGACATCTGTTGGGAATATGGTGAGTGTTTGGGATGTGTTTGATGACACAGAGTTGTTCACGTGAGCAAAACATATCTGGACTTCAATGAAAAATATGCAAATTACAATGTCGGTGTCTAAGTGTGGTGGGCTTGAAACCAACGTCTACTTGCTGGCAGTTGGTTTACTGCACCACTGTGAAGAACACTACAGTTAGTCAAGAAATTTGTAAAATGTTTGATCTTACCCTTGCATTGGGACAATGTCAACAAAAATGACATGATGCACAATGAGAACAACACAGAACAATATGATAGACAACAACAACAACAACAGGAATGATGCGATGCACAACAAAAACAATATGTGCAATGCATCTTCATCGGAAATCTCAGAGCTCATCATGTTTACTACTATGTAATTACAGAATTATCATATTTCCCCTGTCCTCATCGTCTTCGGTCTTTACTGGGGATGAGCTAAGACACAAATTGTACACATAAATCATGTTCTTGTAATGTACAACATTGAATATTCACTGTCCTCTGCTCTGGTTTGGCCGTTATATTGCTCAACAGTAGGAGCTTACAACCAACATCTCAAACACCAATGCACACCAATATTGCCCACCACATTGTTTGCAACTGACAGCATCTGCTGTGGCACAATGTGGACATGTCTTGATAATTCGCGCCCACAGTTGATAAAAATCTATCGTTTTCTATTTGAGTTGAACTTCAAGAGAACTTAATCCTTCAACCCAATATCACCCAACCCTTTGGCTTCTACAGCTATACACCATGCCTCTTGCTGACCATCACCTTGATTGATCTTACATCCACCTTCCTGGGTATCAAGAATGCGTTACAGGTCCCTTTCATTCCCTAGGCATTTCCTTGGGTAATGGGTCTTATGTGTCTGCTTGGGGAGCTCAAGACCATGGATCTGGACGCCTGCTGTGTATGAAGGATATCGACAGGCGCAAGATGGTGGAGGAGAAATCAGAAGGCGTTGTTGCAACAGAGCTCAAAGTCTATCAGCAGATGGCCTCCTGGGAGAAGGAGTGCAATGGAAAGGCATTCCTCATGCAATTAGAGATGTGTTTTTCAACACACAATAACATCTATTTTGTCATGGTATGTGCTCCCCCTGCCCCAACAGTTTGAGCAACTTGACTTTGTGCATACATTAGGACTTGATGGTTTTTGACCTCCAGAAGCTCATGGCTGATGAGCCTGAATTCAGTTTCGAGAACACTCCTAGATTGAGTGCTCAGATGGTGAGCAGGTGTCGCTGACTACGTAGTATGCAATCCCTGACACAACTGTTTTTTGAAGGCCCTTGGTATCAATGCTCTTCACAGCATGGGCATCATACACTGAGACATAAAGCCAGACAACATTCTAATAGATTCCTGCTACAACGTCAAAATCACAGATTTTGGGGTCTCCCATCTGCACAGGATGCCTTTGGAACCAGGGGAAGGGTATATGTTGGTCTATGTGGAATCCCCCGTGTATATGGCACCTGAAGTAATGTTTAACGAGGGTGACAAATATGGATGGGCAGTAGACTGGTGGTCTTTTGGATGCATCCTTTATGAGCTCATTTCTCCAGGGCACAAGGTGGGTGTCCTATATTCCTTTATTACAGCACAACTAAAGCTTTTAATCAGAGGCTCTTCATCATGTTGGATGAGATAGACGCCTATATCAAGTCGTCCACTTCCAAGGTGTTTGAGGAGCTCAACCCATGCATGGGTAGCTTAGTGTCGATGGTAATATTCTATATCACATTCCTTTTCAAACCTGCTCACTTACATGCCACGATAGCTGCTCAAACCCATTGACTGCCTGTGATATGAATTTGAAGGCATCAAGTCACACCCATGGTTCACAATTAATGGCATGTCAGAATTTGACAATGCTGCCTATTGTGGTTAGTGATCTCTGAGTTGTTTCTGAGGAGTGCACTGAATATTTATTGCAGCCATTCAACACTTTCAAATCAAGTTCATATATGGAGAAGATCAAGATGAACTTGATGAAGAGCCCCTACATCCTGTACAGGTGCAGTGGCAGAATTTTTGGCCTGTTTTTGCATGATGGGCAAACATGTAGATATGATACTATAGCATTTATTAACCATATCCCCACGTTAACCCCAGGCCCCTGACCCTGATGGATGGCAATATGAGTTCCTTCCCATTATGCAAATCATTGTTACTTCCTATGTTCCCTCTAACCATCGAAGCAATACAGTCACATCTAACTACTTATGTTTTCATATCTCATGTACATTACTGGATTTACAGCTGAGGCATCATTTTAATCAGCAGTAGTACTTTCTGTGCCCTCAATAGTGATATCTAGTCAAGAGACAAGTATGGATGAAAGAGTCCTTCGGCACCATGCTAAACACAGGAGCAAGAACTTCGCGCAAGGTGTTATACCCTAGCGAAGGACCCAGGTGGCCAATAAGGATGCACACATTGGTGTGAATGGAAGCTTCAGGTTCTGCTTGAAGGCAGGAAAGGTAGTGAAGTCAATCGTCATTGAGTATGCTGCAAGGTAGCTGTATATGTTATCAATAGTAGGATGATAGCCTGAACGGTTGCTTTGTGAATGACAACGACTGTGTGGGCTGATACTCAGGAGACCTGGACATGGCAACGTCCATGACAACATCATCCATTTTGATGTTTTGCTGCGCCTCTTCCCTCAGCATGTACACGATGCCCTTCTTCAGAGTTCCAGAGGTGTTCGTGGTATGGAACCTTTGTCTCTATCACAGATTGCTCCTCCTCCTCCCCTTCAGGCCGCCCCTGCCATGTTGATGGTCCTACTGATGGTCCCAATTCCTCGTCACTAACCTCTACCAGGAGTGGTTGAGCAATCTGATCTGCCAATGTCAGAAAGAACCATCTAGCTCTCTCGTAGGCAGGGTCAGGGTCAGGAATGCTGAGCTGATGTCCAAAGATGTTGTGTTTGATGGTGTTGATGGCGAACAATCCACACAAAGCTGAGTCGTTCTTGTGACCATGCAGCAACTCATATCCAGCATTCTTAAACCTCCCACCAAATTGTTTTGTGAAGCACCATTGTGGCTTGTTAGTGATCTCCTGGATTCCAATGTGCGCATCAAGAGAGTCCCCTATGTTCAAGTTGGCTTAGGCATTGTAACTTACGTGTAGATGTAGGTACTTACTGCAGCTGAAAGATTGCTTTTCAAAATTGATTTCCAACGCGATGTAGTGATCGCTGACATGGATCGGGGTATAAAGATACCTTGATGTCTTTGCGCTATGTTCTAGAGTGTGCAGGAAGCTGCGTGGCTGGTCATGATGTGTGATGCTTTTGGCACTGTGGATGGTGTCGGCAAACCTGGTGTTCACAATCACTATGTCGGGCTGTTTGTTAGGCAAGCGAGTGGCAAGGCAAGTGACCATCATGTTCACGAGAGCTTCAGATAACCATGCCCTATCAGATAAAAAGTTCACTAAGGGCAAGGTTGTTCTCCCAATGGCAGACACTTGGCCATGTATTGGCCCATTCCATGGGAGAATGTACAGCTGCCTCACTACTGTGCGGTAGTGTTCCGCATCATCCCCTTCCTGTTTGCTCTGTAGCCATGCCTTTCCTTTTGCCCATTGAGACCTTGTGTGATGGATCTCGTGCATCACCTGCCAGAATCGCACAACCCACATAGGTAGTAGGGTAGTGTGTGTGCAAGGATCACGAATGGATTGCATCCCATTCAACAGCTCCTGTCCAAAGCTTTCACGAAGGCCTATTACTAACTCATGGGGAGGAATGGGGTCGTGATGTTTCAACTTGCGATTGGGAGCACCTGGATCATAGGAGAGCCCGCATTCAGGAGGCCAATCGGTGATTTGTGGAAGGTTGAATTTAAGTAGATCAACAACGGAAATATTGTAGGCAGGGAGCAGTGGTGCTATCCATTCCTCTGGATAGGTCAAAACTGACATGCAAAGGCTGTCCAGATCCTGAGGCAGTAGCAGCTTAGGGAATTCTCGGCCTCACCTGATCCATCGGTGAGTGACATCAAGGAGAAGTAGAAGTTTCTTGTCTGGCACTTGGTGAAGGAGGCATAAATGCTTTGAAGGGTACACTAACAGTGAGACTTCTATTTCCTCGTCGTCATCATCCTCGTCATTGATGCTGTTCTTGTCGTCATCAAAGTAAAGGGCGATGTCGCCTGTGTCTTGGAAGAATGTTGTGGGACAGTCCAAGCATTTGAGGTGGCTGATTTCGCTAGGATTTCCTGTGATCTCCAATGCTGAATTACCTTGATCACTGGTTATGAACATACGGGGCATTTTTTTTGCCTCTTATATGCCGGTGCCTGTCCGTGTGGCCAAAACTTGTCCATCTGTTAAGGTCGTGCTCAAGGGAAAGACTACTCAAAGGGCTTCGGCTTCAGCTTGTGCACTGCGCCCCTTACCCGAGAATGTGCCCTTAATTTCCGAGGGGCAGAGGGGAAGTCCAATGGAAGTCCGGGGAGTTCCAGAGGACAAACATCGGTGGAACTCCAGGAGACTATGTGGGAGCAGAGCAAGGCTACTACAGAAGTCCAGAGTAGAAACAGAACAGAGGTTAGACTACCCTAAGGTAGAGCTGGAGAATTAGTCCTAAGGTTTAACCCCTAAGACTCAGAGGTGGACAAGAGATGAGACTCAAGTCTGAAGATTGCAGGAATGAGCAGAACTAAGATGATATTCAAAATGAGGAGTTCCAGAGTATTACAGGAGCTTATATACTGTGGGTAACATGTAGGTAGATCAGTCAGCAAAGTAGAGGCTATGTATGAAGCATGTAGAAAGTCTATTGGTAAGTGTAATGGATCAAAGCAGTGAAGTCAGAAATGAAGTGAGAATGGACGGATCAGTAAGCATAGTGGAACAGGACATAACCGGTAACTGGAACAGTAACTATTCTAAAAGGAGATAGGGGTGAGTACGGAGATGAAGTTGGAGCGCCGGGCAAAATAACAGGATGGAGAACTGGACTTTAGTGGAGGGGTTCCGGAATTCCGGATCTGGAGGTATGGGATATGACACCATCAGCCCAATTCCCCATACCACTAACATTGGAAGGATTAGACAACAATGGACATTTAAGTGATTGGCATACCAAAATTTGGCGACATTACAGGCACTTTCTTGTGAGGGAGAGGGGCAGTGTCCTGCCTGGCTTGGCTTCCTGGCTTGGGAGGCATTAGGTAGTTGGAAGTTGTAATGAGAAAGCAAGTCAATCACTATGCATTCGACAATGCAGAGATAAAGTAAGGTCAACCGCGATGTGTTCGATGATGCAAAGATAAAGTAAAGGTCAACGGCAATGCATTCAATGATGCAAAGATAAAGTAAAGGTCAACTGCAATGTGTTTGACAATGCAATGGTAAAGTAAAGGTCAACCGCAATGTGTTTGACAATGCAACAGTAAGTAAAGGTCAAGCACGATGCAATCAATGACAGAACGGTAAAGTAAAGGTCAAGCGCGATGCAATCAATGACAGAACAGTAAAGTAAAGGTCAACCACGATGTATTTGACAATGTAATAGTGATGGAAGTTGTGGGGAAAGAATTGAAAACAAAAGATGGCAAAACACTGGCATAATATACGGTAGACTGTCAACAGTCACATGACTAAACATTGGAAAAGCCACCAGTCCACAAACACGTTACATTTATGATTATGCATTTAGGTCCACAATTAAAGCCTCGACTTTCACTTGCCCTGACATTCTTGAAGATGGCCCATGGCTAAACATTGGAAAAGCCACAAGTCCATAAATGAGTTACATTTATGATTATGCATTCAAGTCCACAAATGCCTTGAGTGAGCATGAGCGTACTGGAGTGTAGAGGGGAGACAGAGACAATAATGAGATGAAATGATGATGAAGATGAGAGAGAACAATGATTAACCAGTTTAGTAATGACAATGGAGACAAAGACGATAAATTATCACAGGCTGCCATCCATTTGGTGGGAGGTGTGCTCTACAAAGCAATATGAAATTTTGGGCACCAAAGTCCCAGTAGCAACCCCTCACAGGCAGTACAGCCTGGGAATACTCCACCCTTTAAGGGGTGGAGGGGGTTCTGCCCCACCAAACACAACTCCAGAGTACTCCAGAAGCACCTGCTATGGCAAGCAAGCGTGTGCTAGGCGGTATCACGACCAAATAAAGGCAAATAAATACACAAACAGAGCTCGAACACATGACATATCAACTTTGCGTGCATTCGAAACCTCAAAGATACAGTACACTATCTCACAACGTATACAGTAATAATCACTGCAGAAACGAGAATTTGATCAGACCTGGACAGGGTGTGAAAGACCACATAAACAGTATATAATCAGAGGCAATAGATTGTGCAAATCCCGAAGGGACAGAGTAGTGAAAAGTACCTGTTTTACATTCAAAACTGACACAGAAAACATAGCTGTTGTAGAATAAGAATATGCAAATCATGATCTAACCCAACAGTGTATTTGATTTGATTTGATTTGATTTGTGAGGATCACACATCTGATTTGTGTCTGAACATGGTAATAACTAAGTCTGATTAGAATCTGAATACAAAGCCACCATATGACCATTTGCTTCCCCTGGGGATTCGCCCTGCTCCTCAATGCCTCCTGGTGATTGCATTCTCTTGTTCCCTGCCACCTCTTACCGCCACAATATATGGCTCTCAGAGCTCACAGCGCCGACCAAGTGGTGCTCCCAGTTTCTCTGTTCCAAATCATGTTAGCCAAGAACGACAGCATACTGTGGTGGGGGACATACCATACAACTTTGGCAGTGATCAATCCCACCTGTCTCCCTTGACCCCCATGACTCCTGCTCTGCCTCAACCAGATGATGTATTCGGAGGGCCTCATGAACAGACTGGCACTGTAATAAATCAACAAGACACTCATCTTGAACATCAAGAAAAACTTACTTGTTTATTAGTCTGGTGATGCTACAAATGGGCTCATGCAGAATCAGCACAACCAGATTGGCACTGGACAGGCTGGACAAATGAGCTCACCAGAGTTTTCCCATCCATTTGGGTTGCCTCACGAACATCAAACACCGTCCCATCCTATGTGAGCCCCTAGTGTGCCGAACTTTACTCTGTCTTCTCAGGGCAGGTCACCTTACCTCAGCCATGGTTCATGGACATCGTTCTCAAATAGTGAACTGTCATCCCATGGGGGCATGGTATGGACTTACCACAGGACCTGGTTTCTTTGTTGTGAAGCTGAAACTAAATCCATTGAGCTGTGCGGGCAAGTCTAATTTGATGGTGAAGTTGCTCTTGCTTTCATCCAACATCTTTGAGTGAATGGTGGACTTAGCGAAGAATTAGAGAAACACACCTTCGAACATGCAGACTAAATTCAGACAGTTGAAAACCATATGTCCACAGGCTGATTTGTGTTGGGACAGCATACATTTCACAAGCAAATGAAGATCTGGAAAGGTCCTCTGAAAAACATTCGAAAAGGCTCTGAAAAGGCCTGTTTACACCTATTATTTCTCAAATTCGGCTACATGTCTGATTTAATTCGGATTATGAGGTGGGTATGTTTTGCTTCTGATTACTCCTGGTATCTCACTCAGATTATGCTCTGATCAAATTCTCATTTCTGCAGTGAATGTTGGACTTAAGGTAGGGCTCATGCACAACCAACTAACATCACATGACCAACAGTGACTTTTGCGTGACTTTGGAGTGTACAGCTAATAGCCGTTGTAAATGTCACTGTTTGGCAAAAAAAAAAGTAGTCTTCTGTGTATTTGTATTTAGAACAACTTTGTGGGGCTGGATTTTTTTTAAAAAGTTGAGAATTGCGAGTGCCATGAGAAAAATGAGTCTTATGGGCCCAGAAATGAAATCTCTGTGTGTGACAATTAGGGGGTAACACTACGAAAAAGGTAAACATTCACCTCCGCGTCCGCATCCTCAGATTACTGCGCCACAGGCTGCATAATGCCGAAGTGTGCACTGGGTAACCTGAAGAATCTTGGTGAACAAAGAACCTCATTGATTCACCAGAGTCCATGAGTGTGGAGCAAATGCAGAAGTAAGCCCCCTTTTTTATTTGATTGTTCTGTTTCACCCAAAAATTTAGATATGCACACTGTTCTTGCAGATTCATGGAAGCTTACAAAAAGGGCCTAACGGGAAAACAAGCAGCATGAGCAAGCAAAAAATACAGAGGTCATGGAGTCCTCCCTTACTCTATTGTTGCTGAGCTCCAAATATACTTGATGCTACGACATCTAGCTCAATGTTAGTAGCTAGAAATCTACCATAAGATTGTTTTCCTCATATCTATCTATCTATATGTGCTCAGTGTCTGCAGGGGTCAAAATGTCCCCGTCCCCCTCCTGCCTTATCGGGACGATTCTCATGTAAGTGTCCCCCTGTCCCCCTTTGCATGGTCCTTTTTTGGGGCCTCCGTCCTTCTTTTGATTGAAATCCATGCTTTCTCCATTGTGGGAGTGTCCCCGTCCCTTTATGGCCGTCCCCCTTGCCGTCACCTCTTCCACATTCATGTCCATCTCCCCCCTGATGCAACCGTCCCCCTCCCTTTATGGCCATCCCCCTCCCTTTATGGACGTCCCCTTCCCTTCATGGCCGTCCCTGTCCCTTTATGGCCGTCCCCCCTTGCCGTCACCTCTTCCACATTCATGTCCGTCCCCCCTATCATGTAAGATGGGCCGTGTTCTTACCCTGGTTTGTCACATGACTCAAGAGGTCAAAAAAAATCTCATCTTTGTCTTATCGCTCTGCAGCAACATATAGAGTCACTGGCGTCAGGCATCAAGGGTATCCAACATCGCGCTGATGTTGCTTATTTTGCATGCCTAAACTTTGTGATAGCTGCAATGCCTGCTCATCCCTCATTTTCTGTATTTACCTTGTAATAATTACATGGGCATATCGCTACATACTATACACACATAATCACAGAACCATTTTCAATCACACTTCATGTACAGTGAGCTACAGGTGAATTCAGTGAAAGGTCGCACTAAAGTCAGGCAATGACCCAGAGTATGACCCAGCACAAGGGACAGAAAGCCGGAATGAGTGGTCATGAAGAGACGGAAAGGAATTTGACGTTGTCTTGACATGCTGTTGCATGCCTGAAACAGCGACCATGCATCGGTGCCTCAAAAGAGCGAAAATACTCTACCCAACCTTCAAGGTCACATTATTGATGGGCGATGAAGTCAAAAGTTCAACGAACTCACCAGTTGGCACCTCGAAAAGCGACAATAATCCATGATTGCAAGGGATGCAAATTCCTGAGACCCCCATGCCTCACTGTGGATGTAGATAGAGTCACCTTACATGTCAGCAACCTCACAAAAGCAAAAACAATTTACCTGGCCTTCATCAAAGGATCACTTGGTACAAGAACATCAGAAAGACAGGAAAATGCAAAAACAAATCCAGCCAACACCCAACCAGGCATGTACACCCCAGAGACTCTCTTGTGTACAGAAAGAGGGGGAGTGACCCCATTATGTAGAGCTTCTTGCAGTACAACAGAAGCACGCCTCTCCATACAGAGAGGTGTCTACATGACAGTTAGAGCACATAGAGGGAAAGATGCGAAAATAGCCAATACAGCCAACACCCAACCAGGCATGTACAGCCCAAAAACTCTCTCATGTACAGAAAGAGGGGGAGTGACCCCATCATGCGAACTTTATGAAGTACAACAGAAGCATGCCTCTCCATACAGAGAGGCATCTACATGATAGTTGGAGCACAAGGAGAGAAAATTGCAAAGATAAACCAAGAATACACACAGCCAAACATGATATAATGCATATAGTGCAGTCGTCCTGATAGAGCTCAACAAACACGTCGAAATATTATCCAGCAAGTACAATTTGGTTGGGGCATCAGAGATTGATTGATACTCTTACCAGTAGACTGAGTGCTGTGGTTGTTGTGGGGTTGAGTAAGTCAAAAAGAAAACTAAGGTGTGGTGCATTACAGCACATCACATATCCAAACAAATCAGATGGCCAAAAACCCAACCCCTGACGGAGGAAAAACAATGTCACAGCCTTTTTCCTGTTGGCAGGGAATGGATGCCATGTGTTAAGACCATGCTCAGGGGTAAGGCTGAGTCTGAGGGGCTTGGCTTCAGCTTGTATGCTGCGCCCCTTACCCAAGTACGTGCCCCTAATTTTGGATTGTAGTCTGACTCAAGTTCTATGAGCTCCAACAGTACATTGGAGCGGAAGTCCTCCAAAGGAGGGTCAACGAACTACTAGATAAGCGAGGGAACATTGGGCGGAGGTTGGTCCGCCCAACAGGGGAAAGTCGGAGGGCTACTGCAGACAGAGCTAACAGTAGGAGCGGAGCGGAGGAGACTGCTCGGATGAAGTCCAAAGCAGAATGGAAACACAGAGGACAGAGGTACAAGAGTACTAGTCGTAAGTCCGATGCGCAGGAAAGGCAGCAGAGGCGCGGGAAGTCGGATGAGCGGAGGAGGCGGCCGACCTAGGGAGTCAATCCCCTAGGCCAGCAAACAGGAGTTGTCAAGGGGTCTGCCCAAGAACAAGGACAAGAGAGCAGGGCTCAGAAAAGGTAATATTCAGACTGAGTATCTACAGACAAATGTACATATGTTTATATACTCTAAGTGATGAGCATAGCATAGCAGAATGCTATGTGCTGAGTGTGCAGGATGACTAGAAGGATGACTGAGACATATGAGAAAAGGCTCAGAGGACAGTATGTACACGACAGATCAGTAATCACTCTGGTATAGGAATTACTGGTGATCCGAAAGGAGGAACTATGATACTAAACAGAGATAGGACCAGTTGAGTGGTGCCTAGTCTAGGAGTGGACCAGTGAAGTGGTCGGGCGGACTAATAGTCAGATGAGGCAATACAAGAGAAACTGGAGGAACCAAGTGGGTTGGAAAAGCATAGATGGTGGAGGGAGTAGGAGTAGGATCAGTCAGACCAATGGAGTGGAGGAGCAGAGCTCCAGATAGGGTTGGAGGGTAGGGATATGGTGTCGGAGGAAATAGGGGTAGTATCAGAGGAGTGGAGCAGAGTTGGGCAGAGGTAGCAGGGCTAGTCCTGCTGAGATGCACTTCATGCATTGTTGGAGAAGGAGGGATGGAGCGGACAGGGAAACAAGGGGCAGACCAATAGTAGGGATGTCTATGAATGGTGTTGGGAGTGGCTGAATCGGGTATATGACACTATGGTGCCAAACCCGTTTTGCAACCAGTAAATGCATCTTCTCCCAAGCCAGGGCACCTGTGTTTGTTGATCCATGTTCCTATTTTGTTGTTCAACAGTGCCATTTGGGCTCGGTATGTTAATCCCTGGTTTGAACCTGCAGCAGGGCCGATGGCCAGCATGCTGCCAAGCCTGTTTGACACAAGCAAATGTCTAAATCTGGATTATGCTCCGAGATAGGGCGCTCGGACGTACTGAACTGAAGCTATTTGGGTCCTGTGTATGAATGTGATGGGCTCTTGGAGTTAATGCTCTGCAAACCTCTGTATTGGTGTGATATTTTTAATGTAGGCAGTGATCGCTCCAAATGGTTCCGTCCCTCCATTTTTAATGTTAAGCATGACCAGGGGTGCTTCAATTTTCTGATCTATGCACCATATATGCTCATCTTAAGGTTGAAGGGTCTGTCCCTCCATTCCTCTGACCACTAACTGTCATTTTTTTTCATTCTTTTTCTTTGTGTGTTTCTTTTTTTTGTTTTTTCAGCCTGCCATAGTCACATTATGCTACATCCCTGCAGGTTCAGGATTGTTGATCATCGCAGGATATTGTATAAGACTGCATGTGCTCAAAGCATCCAACCACCAACTATACAGCACCAGACAAACCTATATCTCCATATCCTCTGCTCACCATATAGATGTCCAAATACTGTGAATTTCCTGACTGCGAAGGTGGCCCATACACCAATGAAGAGGCCCAAAAACACAAATGGCGCTATCACTCCTTCCCTGTTTCCTCCATCATCGGGGGACATGAGTACATTGTGGCACAATCCGACACTTACTATGCCTGCCCATTGCCTGGGTGTGACAAAGAATTGAGGAAGCGCAATGACATGCAGAAGCACATCATCCCTGACCAAAATGGCAGCGTCTCCATCAAGGTCTTTGACACTTGTGATACTCATGAGCATTGTTGGACAGCTGCTAATGATCGCCTTGTATTGACCTGCACTGTTTTGTGCTCAGCAATGGACCAAGACCGTGATGTCTCAGTGCAAGCTCTTGTGCCAGGGACTCCGTCCCCTCAGGGGATTATTCCCACAGGTGAGAATGGTGGCATCGATCAATCTGAAGCATGTTAATGATATGCATCCAGTTGACAATGGGTCTCCTGTCGATTCTGACATGGTTAAACTCCTGCCATTAGTGGACTACTTGAAGTCAAACAAGGCTCTTGATGCACTGGGGGTCTGTGTGCATGTGGAGCTGAAAATACTGATATGCTATACGTGCCAAGTGCCATTGACCTCTGGGATGGTGGTCAGTCACAGAAAGAAATATCAACATTCCTAAGAGGCATGTCCATCGGTCATGCACCCCTCGAACTCACTGACTCTAAACCACAACACATAACAGGTGCCTTTGATAGCGGTTCAACAGGCTTTCTTTGCTTTCTGCTCCGAAGCTGAGATTTACAAAAAACCTGAGTGTGTCAAGCTACCAAGTGCTGGAGGACCTCCTATTCAGCTCATCAGTCCCCCCACTCCCGGTTATGCATGTGTTATGTCAACTGACTGCACCTACTCTGTCAAGGACTTGCTGACCATGCAAAGGCACTGTAGGGAGAAGCACAAGATGGAGCCCTTAGCAAACATTCAATATTGAGCATGCCTCGTTCAACGGATTTTCACTGGTGTTGGAAGCTCATATTTCGAGATCTCAAACGACCTTCTTCCAGGAGCCAGACCTCAGCTCAAAGAAATATTCCTGCCTAGATTGGACGCTCCCTTGGTCATTCCCACTGACACAGAACGAGAATGCACCCCGCTTGTCCGCTGCATGGCCTGGGACATGTTCATGACAGAAACCTGTTCACCCGACTCACTGAGACAGTAGACGATCATTTCCGCAAAGCAGTGACTATCTTGGATGGTCATCCGCAGAAGCTCAGCCTAAGCAAAATCTTGGTGCACAGCAAAAACATACCCCAAGAGACGTGAGTTATTTCACCACCACTTCGGATCATCTTTGCTGACCCTCCTTCCATTTGTCCATAGGGATACATATTGGAAGCTGGTTGCAGAATCAAACAAGAACTATCCCAATCATATCATACAATTTGTCCGATGCATGATTCACCTTCACTTAGATTGCCCTCTTAAATTCTCATTCTCCCTTTCTGAAGAGCAAACCCCTCTCCTGGAGGAGCTGATAATGCTCTTGCAGGATCCCCATGTCTTGCGCCACAGCAGGATGATTTCATACCACAATCTGGCTTGGTCCCTTGTCAATGCTGACCCGACGCAGTGCAATGTATCATGGGCAAACCCTATTCAGAGAGCCATCTGGCTCAAGGCATTGCGTGTGGAAGGAAATTTCTATGAAGCCACGGATCTCACTCCTGACCTTGCAAAATAGAAGTACTTTTGTAATTCAGCCAGGATCCTGCAAGCCATGTTGGACAAAGACCAGGATACAGATGGCGTGTATCCAGATGACTTTGAGTGAGTGACTTGTGACATTTACTCTCTATTCACAAACTGAACCTGCATGGCTTCACCAGGTGCATCACTCATGTACATGAGAAAGTGCTATCGCTGGGTCACCCTACGTCATTCAATATGATTTATGAAATGCAGCAGTATGCATCATCTCTGGCGTTCAATCAAACGCAGGAGGCCAAAGTGTTTGTCGATCCAGACTTCAAATGGATCACCATTGGGGTGAAAATGATGCACCTGGACAAGCTGCAAGAGGGCATCCGGCATCTAGCACAGGACATGAAGTCATGCTACAGGGCCCTTATGCAAAGTGACAACGTGGTGACCAAGATGCCAGATCAGGTGAATGATGATATCACAAACACCACAAGGGGCTACTCTTTCATATTGGAGAACCCATTTTTTGAGAAGCGCCATTCTCTCCTTCTCTTTTTGGTGGAGCATGCAGTCAGGACATGGAAGGGGAAGGCTAGAGCTATTGATGCAGATCAGTCCTCGCCAACCACTGCCACCACCAAGTGGAAGGCTACAGCCCATGCCTTCGACCAGCCTCCGTCATTCACCACTGTCATGAATTATTTGAAAGGGAGGTGTAGGGCGCAGGCTATTGAACACCCTCCGCCATTTACACTCACTGGCAGGCCTGGGCCGTCTAGGACCATCATCAATGCTTCCAAGGCAAAAGCTAGAGACGAAAGTATTAAACAGCCCCATTCCACCACATCAGCCCTGTCGAGTTCACCTGCTGTGGTGCCAGCAGTGCATGCTTTTGACTGGCCACCTTCATTCGCCTCCATCATAGATCATTCAACAGGGAAGGCTAAGGTGCAGGCTGTTGAATCATTATTTACACCCACTGGCAAGCCTGGACCATTAAGGACCATTGCCTATGCTTCCAAGGGAAAAGCCAGAGATGTCAGCATCACCCAGGCCCATTCCTCTGTATTGTCCCTATCAAGTTCACCTGCAGTAGCGCTGATGGCATACCACAAACATCATCGCCCTCAGCATATCAGCGAGCCAGATGATGATGAGGAAGTGCCTAGGAAGCTCAAGCATCTTTGTCGCCCCAGCACCATAGCTCCAGACATTCAGATGGAGACTATCAGCCTAACCAGCAATGATGACCTCTCCAGCTTCATTGTCCCTGATAGCGATCTGTCTTCGTCACCACCCCCTGTCATTCAGGAAATGAGAAACAGCATCCAAGGAGTGATCAGACAGATCATGAAGGATCCTACCGCTGCAGAAAAGAGTCATGACCAGATGGATGCACTTGTTGCCATCATGAGTGAAACTCATGACCTTGTCATCATCATGAAGACTGGAGGAGGCAAGAGCATGTTATGGATGGTTCCGCCAGTGCTAGATGAGGCTGAAAAATGCATTGTGGTCTGTCCATTCATCGCATTGCTTTAAGAATAGTATACGAAGACTGCTGTCACTGGACTGCATTGCCACGACTATACTGCACACAAAGATGTGCCTGAAAACGTCCAGGTGCTCTTCGTGCAGGTGGAAAATTGTTCATCTCAAGCCTTTGCTAGGTCACAGAACTTCTCTTATCCTGCCACCACAGCTACTCATATGACATCCTCAGTCTCCTGGTGTCCCCCCTGGGGAAGAAGTTTACCAGATTCTATGTAGATGAGGTCCACAACGTGCTCAACTGCCATCCAGATCGCACATCAAAATGGCTTACTCTTGGTCAGCAATTCAGTGCGGCATCGGTGCAAATGATTCTCATGTTGGGGACCATACCTCACCGGGTGGGGAGCTATGTCAAGCCATTCGGGATCCTGCTGCATGACATCAACAAAGTCAGGTTTGTGACAAACCGTCCAGAGATTGGCATGCACATCATACATGTGGAACCCATTGCGGCAAGGGAATCCCTGCATCACCTTGTTCATACTCTATCTCTACTTCTAGGAGACGAAGACTGCATGCTGGTGTTCTTTAGCTCCACAGCTGAAACAGAAGAATTTGGAAGAAAGGCTAGGTGCACTATGTATCACAGTGAGCTCTGGCAACCTGGCAACACGAAGGCATACAACCTTGACCCATGGGACCGAGGTGAATTGAAGGTGATGGCGTGCACCACAGCTTTTGCTCAGGGTATGGACAGATCCAATGTCCAATATGTGGTGATATTCAGGCCTGCATATGGACTTATTGTCAACAACCAGATGATGGGTCGCGCAGGTTGTGACGGCAGAGAATCTCATGTGTTCTATGTCACTGACAAGCATGGAAAGTCACTACCTAGCAAGGCAAAGCATGCATTAGACCATTGCCTGGCAGAATTGGATGACATAATGTTTGGCACAAAATGTAGGCGATACACCAATGGTCTCTTCATGGATGGTGAGCAGCTCGCATTGCAGTCCACTGATCCTCCTCATGGAGTCCCTTGCAACATATGTGCCCCCAACAGCGCCATGCAGCTGTTGATCCAGAAAGTGTCAGACAACCCTTTCAGGGAATTGGATGCCCTTGTGCAAACAAGCTTGGCAGCCATTGGGTCAGGCTCTGCTTTGCAGGACAGACCTAGTGCTGCGCAGCCGATGCTTCCCGTGTTTGTGCAGGTCGGTTCTTCACTTCAAATGCCCACGGATGTCAGCGTGAGTGCTACTCTATCCCATGATCTTGCGCCATGTTGATGCCTTTACCACAGCCATCAACCCAGAACAGTGATTCCCTGTATGACTGTGAGTCAGAGATCACATCATCTCAAGCTCTGGTGCTGGATGCCATGGAGGTCATTCATGGAAAGGTGACTGGGTTCCATGCAATATATATATACTTTTCTGGAGCTGATGAAGGACCTTGTACAGCGTGCCTCAGGAGCACAGACCAGACCATACCAGGTATGGTCGTCTTTGCATTGCTCCTGTCAAACTGTGCTAATGGTGTTCAAAAGTCATTGTCGCAGCCATCTGTGGGAATCACCTCCAGGGTAGAACTACCACCTCCTTCCTCGCTTCCCAGTGGAATTGAGTCCCGTGGCTTCATCTCAAGAGTAAGGAGAGTGGATGCTACACATACCAGTCGTCTTCAATGCTCCTCCCATCTCAACACGTATATGCGGGTCTTGAGAGACATGTGCCCCATCAAGTTTGTGGTTAGAGGCGAACTGCACTCCACAGAGCTGCACGTCTGCCTGGTAAAACACGACATGCTGATAGATGACTACGGCAGGTTCAAACACATTTTCGTCTTCGCTCCCTACACATATTGTTTCCACTGCGGCATGCCCCAGTCGTGGAACTGCAATGGAGAGGAGCCCGTATGCCATTCCGAGTTCCTGTGGGAGAAAGGGAGCAGGTGCCACTTCAGTGGTTTTATCTTCAAGGCTGTCTACTGCGTGTGGCAGGTGCCGGGGCTCAGGGACCTTATGATCCAGGGTATCGGTGCAGGAGGAAGGCTCTCGACATTCAACGAGTTCTTGGCTTGGGTAGTTCAAGAGAACACAGAAGAAGGCAGATACAACAATTGCATCGAGGCATTCCTTTGGTTCTGTGAGGAGATAGAGAAAATCATACCTGTCATGTTTGGTGTTTGATGTGCATGTTTGCTTGGATGTTCAACTTTGAGCGCCCCCTATTGTATATAGTTATCAATAAGATTTGCTTATATAGGTTCAATTATTTGTAGGGTTTACTTTGTATTTACTTCTATTTATTCTAGGTATTCTGAATTTTGGTCACAAGGTTGGGCGTTGGGCATTGGGCATTGAACTTTGAGCTCCCCTATTAAATTCAACATCAGCCAAACAAAGCCAAACACTGTGAGTTTTTGCCCTATAACAGCTGCTTTTTTAACATCTTTTCATCAACAATCTACCCCTTTCATCGCACACAGTTATGGCACACACCAAGCACACAGCCTCTAGCATATCACGTGCTCCTGTCATATCCCGTACCTCCGGATCTGGAATTCCGGATCTACCTCATTGAAGTCCGGTTCTCCATCTCACTATTCCGCCCAGCACTCTGCCTTCATCTCCGCACTCACCCCTAACTCCTTTTAGATTAGCTATTGCTCCGGTTACCAGTTACGTTCTATTCCGCTATGCTTACTCATCCGTCCATTCTTACTTCATTTCCAACTTCACTGCTTTGATCTGTTATACTTAATAATAGACTTTCCACATGCTTCGTACATAGCCCTTACCTTGCTGACTGATTTACATACATGATACCTACAGTATATAAACCCCTGTAATACTCCAGAACTCCTCAGTTCAAATATCATCTTAGTTCTGCTCATTCCTGCAATTGAGTCTCACCTCTTGTCCACCTCTGAGTCTCAGGGGTTAAACCTTAGGACTAATCCTCCAGCTCTACCTTAGGGTAGTCTAACCTCTGTTCTGTTTCTACTCCGGACTTCCATAGTAGTCTTACTCCGTCCCTACATAAACCTTCCAGAGTTCCGCTGAACTCCACCGACACTAGTCCTCCGGAACTCCCTGGACTTCCGTGGGACTTCCCCTCTGTCCCCCGGAAATTAAAGGGCACGTACTCGGGTAAGGGGTGCAGCACACAAGCTGAAGCCGAAGCCCTTTGAGCAACCTCTCCCTTGAGCATGACCTTAACACGTGCCGAGCATGCAGATATTGGTAGGTAGAAGCGGTGATAGGCAATGGCAATGTCACCTTTGGCCATCCAGTCCCACTGACCCTTTGACCAGTAGTGTGGAGTGGGATCGTGTCCCTCATGCCAGCATTCTGGTAGCCGTGCACCCTCCTCATGCCAGGTGTAGAAGTATTTACTTTTCCTATTCAACTCAGAATGGGCCTGCAGCTTGAGGATTGCGTGAAATTTCTCCTTGAACCCTTGGATCTCCCTGAGATCCATGTCTGCAAGTCTTCCGGGGGTGCCATCATATCAAGGCCTTCATTTTCTACTGCCCAGTCACGCTCTGCATTCACTTGGAGTGATGTAAAAATAGGACTGGATTTGATCACTTACCAAAAAATGCTTTATTTTCCGTGCTGATGGGGTCATTCTTCTCCTTCACCACTGGCCTCCAGGAAAGTCATGCTGAACCAGTCATGGAGGTGCCAGACCTTCCATTTGTCCAGAATGGGGACACACTCCACTCCAGGCTTTACATTGTGATGCATAACAACCAATTGATCCACCGCCATCAACCTCACATGCATGTGTGTGACAAGCATCATCCCAGAGTTCTGTTGGAAAACTGTGGCCATCCGCCTCTGCTTAGCCATACCTTCTTACACTTGTCATTCCAAAGCTTCCAGATGGTGGCATATCCCACCACATTGTAGTAGAGCTCGAGCCACAAGTCCTTGTACCTGAAGGGCAATGGTACGTACCCAAACACCTGCCCATCCTGTTTCACAGGCACCCTCCACATAGTGTATGGCTTCTTATCGTCCAGATCGATGACCTGCAGGTCCTCTGGGGTCCCATAGGTCAGGTAGAGTGTGTGGTCCATGAGGAAGTTGTCCAGCACCGCCTCTGTGCGGTTTATCAGGATTGAGAATGACGAGATCGCCTGTGTGAGTTCTTTTGGTGGCCTTGGCAGCAGCCTGGATCTGGTGCTCATGACAGCAGTGGCATGCTTCCTGATGCTGGAGCTGCCCTTGGACTTTTTTGTTTTGGTGCTGTGAGGAGCTGTTAAGGTCGTGCTCAAGGGAGAGGTTGCTCAAAGGGCTTCGGCTTCAGCTTGTGTGCTGCACCCCTTACCCGAGTACGTGCCCTTTAATTTCCGGGGGACAGAGGGGAAGTCCCACGGAAGTCCAGGGAGTTCCGGAGGACTAGTGTCGGTGGAGTTCAGCGGAACTCTGGAAGGTTTATGTAGGGACGGAGTAAGACTACTATGGAAGTCCGGAGTAGAAACAGAACAGAGGTTAGACTACCCTAAGGTAGAGCTGGAGGATTAGTCCTAAGGTTTAACCCCTGAGACTCGGAGGTGGACAAGAGGTGAGACTCAAGTCCAGAGATTGCAGGAATGAGCAGAACTAAGATGATATTTGAACTGAGGAGTTCCGGAGTATTACAGGGGTTTATATACTGTAGATATCATGTATGTAAATCAGTCAGCAAGGTAAGGGCTATGTATGAAGCATGTGGAAAGTCTGTTAGTTGTGGTGATTGAGCACCTTATGGTGCGAGTTATTTGTGTTATGATGTTGCTTCCTCTATTGGACTCTCACTTAGCATGTGATGTGAATTCCTTACTTACTTAGGCAGTGTTTACACTTGTTTACATAGACTCGCCCATAGGTAGCAAGTCCTGTGTTGGTTGCTCTTTAGCAACTGACACTGGACTATAGGTATGGTACACTCATTAGTTTACACAACACAATAGCAACTGACACTGGACTATAGTCCTGTTCACTCTCATTAGCTCACTTGTGGCTTGGTTCACTTGGTTATTCTAACAAAGTCTATTACTAAGTATAACAGATCAAAGCAGTGAAGTCGGAAATGAAGTAAGAGTGGACGGATGAGTAAGCATAGCGGAATAGGACGTAACCGGTAACCGGAGCAATAGCTAATCTAAAAGGAGTTAGGGGTGAGTGCGGAGATGAAGGCAGAGCGCCGGGCGGAATAGTGAGATGGAGGACCGGACTTCAATGAGGTAGATGTTAGAATAACCAAGTGAACCAAGCCACAAGTGAGCTAATGAGAGTGAACAGGACTATAGTCCAGTGTCAGTTGCTATTGTGTTGTGTAAACTAATGAGTGTACTATACCTATAGTCCAGTGTCAGTTGCTAAAGAGCAACCAACACAGGACTTGCTACCTATGGGCGAGTCTATGTAAACAAGTGTAAACACTGCCTAAGTAAGTAAGGAATTCACATCACATGCTAAGTGAGAGTCCAATAGAGGAAGCAACATCATAACACAAATAACTCGCACCATAAGGTGCTCAATCACCACAACTAACAGTAGATCCGGAATTCCGGATCCGGAGGTATGGGATATGACAGGAGGAAATGACTACTGGCAGAAACCCCTTGACTTGGTGTATGATGTTCTGTCCCAAGACGTAGAGTATGAGAAGTTCTTGTCTGTCATGAACTCAATCAGCATCATCCTGCAAGAGTCTCCTTGCTGGGACCAGGTGAAAATAGCCACAAAAGGGCTCTGGATGGGAGAGATGACTTGGAGGGAATCTGTGGATCTGTTGAGGCAGATTTGGGAGCTTACTGGTAGAATCACTGGTCCTTGGCAGGAAAAGGGTAAGGATGTCTTGTACTTCACCTGATATCTCATAATGATGTTTGGTTCTATTCCAGACCTGGATAATCCTTTCAACACCTTTGAAGCGCGTTTGCTTCTCTAGGGTTTCATCTGGCGGGAGACTGAGCAGCCTGAAGTGCTGTGGAATCCCGAGGACAATATTCTGTGGCAAGGCCTGTGGACAATCCAGGGAGCTCTGGAGGATGATGCGGTCTGGCAATGGGTTGTGAAAAGAGGTGGTATCGACAGACAAGATGTGCGCAGAAGTGTTGAAGAAAGCAGGCCATATGTGGATTGCACACAAGAGCAAGGCAGGTGAGTGTTATTGTGGTAGTTCAATTACTTGTGGCCCTGATTTCTTGTACCCAGCAGAAGGTTTGAGTGCCATCAGCAATGCCCGGGGCAAGGACTGCCAGGGGCCCATGGATATGGACCAGGATGGCGATGGTTCATCAGAATCTTCTGGTGAGAACAAATGTTTGATGCCACAGATATAGCTAACACATTCTACACCCTAAGGTGGAAGGGGCACCTCCATGCCTGCTACCAATGAAGCTGCTGGTGCTGGTGCCGGTGCTGCAGATCGCTCCGCTGACTCTTGCCCTCTGGCTCCATCCACTTCCACAGGCCCCGCTGCCCAAATTGATGATGCACGTCATCCCCCCAGGTCCACCAATACTCCTCCGCCTACTGAGACCCTTCCCAGTGCGGGTAGCTCTCATCTCTCCAGGTCCACAAATGCTCCTCCACCCTCTGAGGCCCCTGCGGGAGTGGGTAGCACTACTGCTTCTGATCTGACAATCCAACAACTGGTGTCACCTCTCTACATCCCCATCTATCAAGGTTTATCCAAGTATGTCAAGCATGAGCAGTCTCTGCATGAATATGCAACCAACTTGAGGAGCAATTTTCCTGCCTCCAACTATGAGGCTGCCATTGCCAGGTACAAGGAGAAGCTCGCTGCTAAGTCTTTGCAACCTTTCAATGCCAGAGAGTTCCAACCGCATGTGACACATTTCATCAACCAGCTCAGCATAACAGCAGCCATGTTGGCAGCTGATGAGCAGAACAAAGGCCTCCTGTGATTGTCTACTTACTCTTGTGGCTCACATTGAAACATTGTATAATATGTATTGCATGTATCACATGCTGAAACTTGATTTCTTTGTGGTATTCCCACATTGTCACATCAAACTTGCATACAAAAAGATTGTGACACTGCTTGATACAGCAAGGGCTCAAAATCACAGGTGTTGTATTGTGAGCAGACTGATGCTGGATCCACTTTGAGTCCCCACCCCAGACACTGACATATCCACCGCTCCGTGTCATTGAGCACTTGATTTATACCCTGGTGGGTTTTGCACGTTAAACTAATAGTATGGTACCAGGGCAATTATGATGGTGCATTGGACACCCAGATCGTTTAGCTACGATTGAATCACCCAGTATGGGCCTTGACGGCCATGTGCAGAGTAGCAAGCTTCACTTTATCGCACAGTATGCTATCAATATATGCGATTTACTACTTGCGATGCGCACGCATAGCATTGATGTCCATGGTGATAGGATCAACTTCATCTTTCATCATGTGTTCGTCCATCACGGTATGACATCTCTTCTTCCCATTCCCTTTGCCTCCTTTGCCCTTGCCCTCCTTTTCCCGCGTGATTGAGATTATTTGTCCTTGTTATTGTTGGTGAGATCTACGAAAAAGTTTTGTAGGCCTGTGGAAGGCAGGAAATGGTGCCAGAAGACTTGTGGCACCAGGACTGGGTGAACCCTCTTGAAATGCTCATTATCTTCGTCCGTCCTCACCCACATGAATGTCCAACTGCACTTCAAGCACAGTAGACTCACCTGGTCATCACAATTAATGTGTCGAAATGCACTCGAAGCATGGGACACCTACCTTAGGTCTACCTGTGCTACAATTGTACACATGTATGTTTGTCGCAGACAGATTACACCCTGCTGTGCCACAGGACCTGTATTCGGCGCCAAACACACGGCGCCCAGGGCTGTTCTTCACTATCTGACGGCACTCGACATTTTTTTTTCCTTTAGTGGTGGTGGCGTACACCAGGACAGTGGTAGTGTAATCAAAGATGCCCTGATTTGCAGCGATCAAGTCGCAAAACAACACCCAGACATCTGTGGCTCTGAACACCCCGCACTTGACAATGAGAGATCTCACGATTATTGATATGAAGGATGGCAACATCCCTGATCCACCAAACCCAAGCACAAAATCGAACATGTCTCTGAGGGACAGTGAGGTGAGCGAGTGGTGGATGTATCAGAAGACAAGATGTACTTGTCCACCAGCTCTACCATGGATTCAAAGTGATGGTGAACCCTGATCGCAGGGCCACAGCTTACCAGCATCAGTACTCTTCTGCCTCCTCTGGCATTGGGTGTGAGCTTGCACCACGGCTCTTGGCCTGTTTTTGTGGTGACAACAGTTTTGTCACTCCTTGCAGCAAGCGAAGTGTTTGCTGTGCCTTTCAGGAACTCCTCGCCAAGGTATGCAGTCACAATTTCTGTGATTGTGGTGTTGGTGCCGCCGGTGTGCCCTCCAGTGTGCTGGAGCATTCCACTATACTCATCGGAATGGGTGTCCACAATTACGAATGTGTTGGGGGGGAATCCAGCTTCAATGTTACATTTCATGAAGCTAACACCTTCAGCAAGCTTCCTGGACTGGGACACATGTGCACCCCCCATGCATGTGCAAGTCTTTGACAAACAGCTAAGAATACAGAATGTTCAGCATTGCATTGAAGTCATGTTAGTCACATGTACGTTCTTGCGATTACCTTATCCCTGTAGTGATACTCTACCTCACATCTCACTGTCGATGCTAGGTAGTTGTCTTTCAGGGACTCCAGGCTCAGGCTGACGATTACCATGGGCCAGGTCATCTTAACTTTCTTCCATATCCAGTATGCCAGGATGGTGTAGGACAGCGGAGCATCCTTGTTAGCTGCGGTCCTAGCACAAATCGGGCAGCAAAAGTCCTTGGTGGTATCCACCATTCTGTAACAGAGGCAGTTGCTGCCCCAAAGAATGGACTGTTGGCACATGATGCCACCGCAATTGACACATTCGTGGCAGTATGGTTGTTGGATGTGTTCGCAACAGAAGTGGCAGTAGTTGCCAATGTTTATGGCATGGAATGAGGGATTATTGGATTTGCCACTGGCCTCAGTTTGTTGGACACTGGACGACACAGCGGTGGTAAGGGAACGGGCTTTGGTGGATCTGACCTCCTGCCCATCATCACCTAGGTCGCTGGACATCTCAACATATGTCCCAGGTCGATGGTTCCTGGCCCTCTGCGAGTAATTCCTGTGAAGTGGCCACCTGCTGTAGATTTACTGTTTTTCTTAGGAGGCATGGTGTGGAGAAATGGAATGATGGAAGGAAAGAAAGAAGCATGGTATAAATGGCCGTGTTTTGTTTTATACCCAATGCGGCATTGCCACAACCCTTGGTAAGAAGACATGTGTTCGGACCAACCATTATTCATCTCAGTGGACGTGAATTTCCTTGCATCTCATTTGTTATATAGTGGTATTTATTGGACTAAACATGACAAATTACACCAGACACCAAAGTCCCAGTAGGAAAGAACAATTTCCCCATAAATAATGCGCTAACCATGCAATGATTGATGGTGATTGAGATGTCACATGATCAAGGTTTGTTTGTTTGGCTTTGTTTGGTCGTGATTGATTTTTCATTCTTTCTTTCTCTCTGCAACCATCTACAAGCCCTTGTTTGGATGTGGTTTTTTCATTTCTCTCTCTCTCTTTGTTTCTTTGTTTCTTTCTTTGAGTGGATGTTGCTTTGTTTCTTTCCTCCTTACTTCTGCATCTGTCCACATTACATGTGCCACCCGCCTATAATATGCTTGAAAATGTAAGTCCCTTGTCACTCTACTTCTAATGGGGTTTGGTCTGTGTCTATGTGTTGGTCTGTAGTCCCAACCATCTAACATATGCCTGCCTGTCATTACAGGTGCGTCTGGTGTATTTCAGAGCTATGTTAGGCAGGGCAGTGCCTCCTCCACCCTTTACAGGGCAGAGCATTTCTGGGCTGTACTGCCTGGGAGGGGTTGTTGCTGGGACTTCAATGACATTGTTGTCACCCCACCTTCTGTGACTAAAGTAAGTCCGTTCTGCTTCTAATGGGGTTTGGTCTATGTCTATGTGTTGGTCTGCAGTCCCAACCGTCTAACATACACCTGCCTGTCATGACAGGTGCATCTGGTGTACTCCAGAGCTATGTTAGGTGGGGCAGCACCCCCTGCGCCCTTTACAGGGTGGAGCATTCCTGGATGTACTGCCTGGGAGCGGTAGCTACTGGGACTCTTTCTTGCTTTATATGGCACCCCCCCTGCACCCAGATAAGGCCTTCTAATAATACATGGAGAATTTGGGAGTGCTCTGCAAGGTCTGGCGGTTGGAGGCACATAATTGTCAATAATTTATCTTACTCCCCTGCAGAACTTCTGCTGGGCCTAGCTAGGCACTACCGTGTGAAGCAGGGGTCATTGGGCTCTGACTTTTCTGTGCACCATTGCCCTCGCTGCCTGGAGCTTTTAAAGAAAATGCAGTGGTCCTCACTCATGTACATGCCCTGCGGCAGGGCAATTCAACTCAATTCCATATGTTGCACTAGCAACAAAATGTTAGAATAACTAAGAAAACCAAGCCACAAGTGAGCTAATGAAAGTGAACAGGACTATAGTCCAATGTCAGTTGCTAAAGAGCAACCAACACAGGACTTGCTACCTATGGGCGAGTCTATGTAAACAAGTGTAAACACTGCCTAAGTAAGTAAGGAATTCACATCACATGCTAAGTGAGAGTCCAATAGAGTGATCAACATCTTAATACAAATAACTCACACCATAAGGTGCTCAATCACCACAAATAACACAAAACATTGTGAAGGGTGTATGGCACAATGCATTAAGTTGATGAGAGTAGTTAAAGTGGTTCCACAAGGTATCAAATTTGAGGACTTGGATTTTTACACAAGTCTTGAGCCTTGGAGAAATATCCCGCTGCCTCCTCAACCCTATGCTGATGCCCATGCATGGCTGCCAGCCATAGTTCAGGACTCTCCCTCTTAAAATTGGCTTCAGTCTGGAACCCATAGTCAACCCACCTAATCAACCCTCCCGCAAAGTATTGAGTGAAGGACTAGTGTTATTCTCCTGAGGAGATGGACACATTGCCATGACATAGGATTGCTGAGGGGATAATGATGGTGGAAACTGGACAATGAGCCTTAGGTCAAACAGAATCAAGTGTCAACCCATGGTAGGGTCATAGTCGCCTAGGGTGGTGATGCTGCACATGCTGCTGGTGAAATTCAGGTTATCTGTGTGATCCAAAGTCACCACGGTAGGACCAAAGGTGAATGTTGCTGCAGGGAACATCCTGTTTTGAAAGTTCCATGCCAAACCTGGCTGCTTTTCCAAGAGCAATCTCCTGGTGTTGGAATATAGCTCATACACTTTGGGTGAATAATGGTATAGTACGCCTGTGGGCATGAGTCAGTAGATCCCATGCTAGAGGCGGCCACTTACTATTTCCAAACCCCGCAAGCCTTTGAATGGCCTTGTGTTGGAGGAGGGATTGAAGTGCGTCTTGGTTTCCCTTGGTGTGCACAAGATTTCCTGGAATCTGCATCATTGAGCTGGCAGCTGATCTGGCCAAGCATCTCTTGTTCACAATCACCTGTTGACCACCCCCAAATGACACTCCGACGGCAAGGCAAGGATAGACACGTCTTCAGTGCTTCATATCATCATCAGTGAAGACACAATGGTCCCTTGCATCCTCCATTGCAGTGCAGGCTGCAGCTACCATATCTTGCCAGTGATCATCCTTGGGTTGTCCAGCAAGGACACCAATGATCCGTTCTTCCTTGTCCAACAAAACATGAGGGGTGCTGTCACATCCATCGATAAGCCTGCCTCGTGGAATAGGCTAACATATATAACCTACTGTCCATCCCTTTCTACAACTTTGAATTCCTGTTGCAGCAGGCAGTCAAGCTCTTGAATGGCCTTGCAGGGAGACTCATGCAGCTTCCCAATGTACGCTCCTCGAGCAATTGGTAGGCATGTCACCAACACTTTGCTGATGATCAACTTTGCAAGGTGTCTGTTGGCTAGCTTAGACCTTTGCTTATAGATTGTCACATCTTGGGCGTGCTGTAGTCAATGACAAGCTCATTTCCCTTTCTGTTTATGGGTTCCATTCCTATGTGGAGTGAAGCCCCCTTGCATCTTGACTTCGCTGTCTTCATGGCCGACGCCCCAAACCCTGGTAGTACAGTTGTTGGGAATGTCATGTTCAGGTGGCAGAACTCCAGGTCCTTCACTGAAGCCTCTATGAAGGACTTGCCCTAGATCCCAACCTTGCAACAGATCATGCATCTGCATGGCCTCATCCTCCAAAGCCTTGTGGATTAGAGGGACTATGTCACCATCTATACACAATTTGATGATTAGGGCATCCATGGGTGGCTGGGTGTTGAAAGAGACCTGTTTTTTTGTCCTCAGCCTTTATGTGGATGGAGGGATTGACAAACCCTGACATTGAAGGTGACTGCTGATCGATGATCAGTGTTTTCCATACCTGTTGCAAAGTGAAGGGATCACGGCGAGATTCTGTTAGAATGAATGGCGAAGCTGCTGGCACGCATACCACCCCCTTTTATAATTCCAGTGAGGGTATGAAATAAGCGATCATTGATCCAGAGAAATACAACGGCGTGTAATGTGTCGTGAAACCACACATGCGCCATGCATGTTCACTAATAAGGCCATCAAATAAGCGATCATCAATTCAGAACAATACAATGACATGCAATGTGTTGTGAAACCATGCATGTGTTTCACCTGAAGCTTGATTACATCATGAAACTACACATGCATTGCAAAGGAGTAATAAGAATGAGGTCATGCAGAATGATATGAAACACATTTAGCCACACTGGCACCCACTCGACTGCCAACGCATAATATGGCCATTCCAAACGTGCAAGCCTCATTGAGGTTGGTTTTGTTTGCGGTGAAATAGCACTGAAATAGCACCAAATATATAGTAGATATGCTTAGAACCTATTAAGCACCCATTGTTAGGAGGAAGGCACAATAAATAAATCATACATTCACAGATTCCCTTCCAGTTCAGTCTACCATACTTTCACAACCCAATCGCGTACTCATTTGGTCTATTTCTTGTGAAATCGACTCACCACCCACTTTGAGCACCAAAGCAATGACAAAGACTTGCATGAGGCCATGACTCTTATCAGGGAAGTGCTGGTCCATCCAAACTGTTCATTGTGGACGATGAACCAATGACAGTTTGTTTCCTTTGCGACCCATGCTGTGTGCCCCAGCCAAGATCCAAGTCTATCTTAGATTCAATGTCAAAGTCAGCATTTGGCACAATGGCTGCCACAGAACTCGTGTGTACACGATCCAACCAAGTACTGGACTCTGCGTGATCAATGCATTCAGTTGATAGCAAGCTGTTCTTCGCATTGTGGTGTTGCTTACCCTCCTTTGTGTCACATCTGAATAGTTCAGTGTCATTCGAACACAAGCGGAAACCCATCACTCATACAGCTAATGATCTGGCTAGATTACTGATTGTTGAGCCCAACGTCGAAGGCTTCAGCCGTGCATTTCAATATTAGCAGTAGCTATACACGACATTGTAGTATTGTGTGACTTAGTGAAGTGGGCATTGGAGCATCATATACTTAGTGCACTTGATGAAGTATCTGCAATGCATGCGAATACAAGACCGGGTTTGACAAGAACAACACATGACAAGAGCAATGAAACAGCAGGGTGCATTCCATAGTACCAATAATGCCCTCAGTATCTGCATGCATATGTCATAATGAGGGGAATAGTTGGTGCTTCATGCTGGGATAGGTACGCCTCATGCTAGATTTAAAACACTCTTAATTAAATGTTGTTTGTGACATTGGACGAAGGGCTCTACCAGTTTATGGAATGCATGAGGACCTCATCCACCTCATCCAACGAGTAGTGACACAAATAGATATCCTCAACTTCTGCGCATATATGTGCCATAACGAGGTGAATAGTTGGTGCATCAATTTTGGGTTAGGCATTCATGATCTGACATTTCAAATACTCTTACATACCATTTGTGACATTTACCGATGCGATCTACCAGTCTAGGGAGTGATCAAGGACCTCGTTCACGTGCTCCAACAAGGAGTGGCACAGTTTAATTACAGACCACACACATGAGTCCCTCCTTTCAGCCCTTCTCCTTGCCTGGTCCATTTTGGTCTGGCATTCAAAGGCTGGACCAATGAATTTGAGGATGGAAATGCTCGACAGCATGATCTTGTGTGCCGTGAGTTGGATTTTCATCAGAGCCCAGAATTGGTGTCGTCCCAAAGTGTGCACTCCTTCATCACCACCTCCATAGTCATGGATGCGTTGTTGCACATTGAGGTTTCAACCAAGGTCCTATTGCTGCTCTCCCTCTGCCCCACTGCCACATGCTCTCCTCCAGCATCGTTGTCATTCACAGGCTGCCCGTCAACACACCCACTGGGAATGGCCAAGGTGGCAAATGCTTCAGAAAGGATCTCATGAAGGCCGTTTGATAATACCTCCATGTGCTGTCTAATGCGCATGTTGACCATCAGCATGTTGTCATCACCCTTATCCTCTGGGTCATATCAATCCGCAGATGCCTTGTACTTTCCCTTGATCATGTCCTGGAGGGCTGACTTAAAGGGGGGGTGCTACACTGGCTGTGAAGATAGTGTAAGTTACATAGCAGGTAGGCATTCAGATATGCACCAAAAGTCATACACTTTTCCTCAGGCCGTCCACCAGTACTGGGCATGACATGTATTAGTTGATAGGTATTGATTTAGAATAAGGCAAAATCAAGTCAAGTGAACTATGAAGAACGATCCCTTGGTGTGCGATGGGCCAGAGTTAAATAAGTTGTGGATTGTAGATTGTGGACTGTGGATTAAATGTTAGACTAACTCGGATGCAGGTGCTATGGAAGAGTGATCTGGTGGAGTAGTGTCTATGAGTCTGCAGCAACTCAACATTGCATAATAAAGTGCATCCTACATCAGACATTAGGAGCATCAACAGCCGCTGTCCACAGTCCACACATCCACAGTTAGCATGTCTATTTAATCCCGTTTTCTCGCTACTCTTACTATCTACAACACCCATCTCAACAGCATCCAAGATTTGTTATAGCAACTGACACACTTAAATATCTCTACGATCATCATTTTCCATGTTGTAGTGCACAAGAAAACGGCTGGCAGAGGACAGCCCTGACTCTCCTTGCAATAGCAAGCGCACCAGGGGAGCTGTAGACAAGGATTTTACAGGACTGTTCATGGTATGTTACGCTCATAAATCTCTGTACATTAGTTGACATGATATGCAGGATACAGAAGACTATTACATTTGCAAGCTGTGTGACAGAAGCCCTGCATCAGGCATCACCACGCTAGAGGAAGGGCTGCAGACAACAATCAAAATGTTGCAGGCATGACTCCAAGAATTACATGACGATATGGGTCATGCTGAGGCTGATTGTAATTGGGAGATGTATACACATGAGCTGCAGATCACACAGCACACCAACCGTATTGCAGACCTGGAATCCAAAGTGCGGTCCCAGCAAGATCTGCTGGACCTGCAGTCCAAGGACCTGGAATGTCTTGAGGTGAGGACAGGGAGCCAGGAAAAGCGAATTTGTGACCTCATATGTGTGGAACTGCTCAAGGATATGTTAAATGCGGAGTGCCTGAAGATGATGAGGCATGCAATCAAGATTCTGGAGACATGACATTTGCCATCTATCACCTTCGAATAAATCACATACTCAAACACATCACATACAGATACCAATTCCACCTATCTTGCTATTGATTGACCAGGGAGACGCCCTTGACTGTACTTAGCTGCATTTACTGTCATTGGAGCAGCACCAATCAGCGGTGCTCGTGATAGTTACATTTGCCACATATAATTACTACTTTGGGAGTACCAGTACAACAATGGCTGACAATGAATGGAACCTTCTTCAACAGTTGCAGATGGTGTACCTGACATGTCAGCATTCGGGAGTTTGGTGAGGGAAGAGAGTTGTGCCCGTGTGTCATATACCTGATCTGACCGCTCCAATATTAATATCCACTCCGCCTTCCGACCACCTCCGCTCCATCCATCCTCCGCTCCATCCAATCACAGTCCGCATCCGCCCCTACGCTTCCACTCGACCACCCGACCGGTCACCTTCTAGAACGTCTCCACTCAACTGGAACCTCTTTCCCCTTTTAGATATATACTTTCCCCTTTGGTACATAGACCCTTACTTCCGGATCACCGGTAACTCCTCTTACCGCTCGATCACTGATCTGACGCGTACATATTGATATCCACTCTGACTTATGTCTTTGCCTGTGTAAGTACTTACAAATTATATCCTTGGTACATAGCTTTACAACATAGTTCTCCTAATCACTACCTCACACTTAGAAGTATATAACATATTCTGTACTTAGATATTTTCCTCAGTCTTAATATTACTTGTCTTCTTGCAGTTTCTACTTGTGAAAATTCTCAGTAGGACCTTGCCTCCTCCGGACA